TCGATGTCAGGAGGCGTCCTTATGGTTTGGCAGTAGTGATGGCAGATTCATGGGATGATTATGCTGATGACATTATGAGACAGATATTTGTAAGGCGGGCACTCATTAAATTGGATTGATTACAGAAAGCTCAACCAAAGTATGAAGTCTTCCATAACTACATAACTCATATGAATACTTTTTTAGTGTGGTATTGTAAGAGTGAGATCCCCCCCTCAATTATTTTAATTTCTTGGTTTATTATTTTCTTTCAAACCAAAGTCCTCTGTGAGTTTGCCATGGCAGTGCTCTTTTTAAGCTTTCCAGAAGTAAAACAGTTGTCTGTTTTATTTTCTATTTTTCTCAGTGGTTTGGCCATCAACAACAACATCAATATTCAATAACAACAAACACTGTATACATGTTTAAAAGTTACGTGTATCATGTTTCTTTTGTATTTACCTCTATATCCTTGTAATACTGTACACACTATTCTTCAACATGGAGCTTTAGCAAACTGTTCTCAAGGTTCTGTCTAGTATTGCCGAGGACTACCTGTATATATGACCGGGTCATTTCCTCTAACCTCCAAACAAATACCCAGTAGCTTCAAGCAATGTGTGACTGGTAACTAATAATAGTAAGGTTCACATTGAAGTCACATTACAGTCTGTTAACTTCAAGTTTACTTTTTAGGTCATGGTTTGAAACGTCAAAGTTATCTTGTACGCAGGGACTGTGCGGACGCACTTGTGGTTATGAAACTTCATGTAACTCGCAGTTACAAACCATGACAGATCTTTATATTAGCGCGATTACTACAAGGGGGGGGGCGGAGGATCCTCACTTAAAGTTATGTGCCATGCAGACACAATAATCCCGGAGTTACAAATCGCGTCTTCATTAGGTTAAGATTCGACCTCGAAACTTGAAACTCGACCTTGAGAAATAAGCTCGAGATATTTTGCTCAGCGTTAGCGCATAATGCGAGCCTTCGGTCTAGTGAAGACGCACAGGACAAATAGCTGGATATTTTGCCAAATAGTGGGATATTTTGCAAACTATCCAAAGATATCTTGGGATGACAATCCCGACCAAATATTTTTCTAATTGCTACTTCGGTCAGATGAAGAGGCAAATTAGCTGGATAGTTTGCGATCGGGATAGTTCAAATAGCTGGATATTTGGCAATCTTGAGATAGTGAAGACAGGCCTAATGTATATAATCTCAAGGTTTCATAAACTTGAGGTTAAAGATAAACTTGAGCACTGGTAATTGTGAAAGAAAAGGTGTGGAATGGATCAGAAAAGTTGATCATATAGCATGTAAGTAATGGTGTGTAATGCAAGGTTCTAGAGTCATCAAAATCATCATAAATTTGGCAGAGTCTTGGTAAAGTAACAATCACTTACACAGATAGATGTATATGGGACAACACACATGGTCTCGGGGCTAGTACTACCCTGATTTCCTTATCTTTCTATGCTCATTACTCAGCCAGTATACATTTTCTTCCAAAATTGTTTGGCACATGACATTTATTTGTAATCTTGAACATTCAGTGTAAGTTTCGTTAGATTCTGTGAGAATTCATTTTCTTTTTTTACCAGAACTCAAGTTTATCTTTAAACTGCAATGGCACCATGTGAACGTAGCTAATGTAAAAAGGATGAGCTACTGTACCTCCCGGTGGAAGCAATAGCGATAGCAGTAATCACGGCCTGTAGCCTGTCTACATAGGGGTACAGGGGAATCCTGTAAATTGCCATAATTGGTACTCTGTTTCTGACCATCCTGTTTTTATAGGCTGCATGCTGTGCAAATTGTACTGCCCATGTCATGCTCTCTGGGGATAAAAGATGTTTTAATCTAGAAGCACCATCTCTGTTTGAATTGGTAAATGTGTTTGTCTATCTGAAGAAAAGTGTCTATAAATGATCATATTTGGGAGCTATTCTACTCAGTATCAAGTTGGAATGCATGATGTATATTTTTGGTTGATGTACAAGTAATTGCATTTCACATTCCCCCCCCCCTTTTTTTCCTCCATTATTTATTTTTTCCATTTTTGAGGAGATATTATGCACTACATGGCTATTAATTATTTTTTTCGGGGGGGGGGGGGGGGGTGGGAAAGAGGAAAAAAAGAAAATCCTAAATTCCCATACTTTTTTAAAGATGTAGTTTTTTGGAAATATTCTTGTATCGCTTTGTAAATCTTGTTTTGTAAAGATTTCATTAATTTGATACTTCTAAATGAAAAATCTTTATTTGTATTTCAGTCAGTGTTGTCACTTTGTATGGTTGTAGATTTTCATTATATAAATGAATCCCATTATGACAATCTGATCTAGCCTCAACACAAACCTCCTCCTTGTACGTCTTCTCCATCAAAGCCTCACGAAGGCCTTTAAGAAACAAAAGCCTGCCAAAATTTGATGCAGGAATGTGAGTGCTACCATTAGGAGCCGGTGCATGTGCAGCTCATCTTCTTGTTATCTTCCAGTCCCATCTCCAATGTCTTCATCATCATCATCATCATCATCATCATTCTCATCCTTGTGTCTGTCCAGCTGTCTCCTCAGCCAGCCCTGGTATCGTTTTACCTTACCATCCCATTCTTCATCTACATCTAGCTTCTTGTTCAGACTTGGTGGTATTTGTACTACCTCACCCTTGCAAAAACAACACATGGGACTGTAGAGAGAGTAAAGTACGTATGTCTAGCTCTGGAAAGGTTAGAGAGGCAATATATATAGTTTTAAAAAGAGGTCTGTGAAAAGGAGATTTGATGTACCCTCCCCTCCTCTTACATTATTTCATACTCTCGAAATTCAAAATACAGGCCCCACCCCAATAGTGGAGAAAAAAAAAAAAAAAAAAAACTGACAATAATGTGCTACATGACTGTAATATTTGCATTTGAACACCAAAGATATTTTGATTAAAACAACCATACCGCATCTGATCTGAAGTAAAATATTATACAGTATCATAAATGAGAGAAATGAAGCAAGGAGGGGGGGGGGGGTAGGGAGGGAGGATGATGATATCAGATGGTAGATAAGAAAGATACTGAACAGTCTGGTAGCTAGACTGCTTCTCATCTTCTTCAATTGGTATCTGTCTCTCTCATCATTCCGAGATTGAGTTGAGTGCGTGACTCACCCGTAGACAGAATGTTTTATTGACCCATCCCCAACAAAACTCTGATACCCCGGCTCCAAGGCTGAATCTTCACTATTTATTGATTACCCTCATTCTGCAGAAAATGGGAGTGCATTGGCAATGGGCTCAGAGAAGAATGAATGAATGAATGGGTGAATGACTAGATTAATGAGTTTGCTTTGCCATTTTTGTTGAGCAAATTTAGAAACTACGAGTCAACAAGCAGATACAAAATGAAGCTAGCCTTGAGTTACTAATTCAATTTTGAAATCTAATTTGAAATGCATTAACCCTTAAGCTCTTTTGAGGTCTTTATTTTGAAGTATAATGCTGTGCGCATCATAAATGAACATTCTGATACATGCAAACAACATGGTGATGTATTAGTGTGGAAATGAATTGACAGCACGTGATACTGTAGACAGACTGCAGGATAGAAAACATGTTGATATGGAGACATGAATTTTAGAGTAATCTAATTTATGCAAAGAAGGGGAGAACAGCATGCTGAAAATTTGCTAATTTATCTCCGTCATTCAGGGATGGCAGTTCTGCAGTCCCTTGTGTGTATTACATGTACATGTATTGGGATGTAGACAGCATTATATCTAAAGGTTGCATGTTACTTTTATTTATTGAAATTGCAGAACTGTTTCGGTATGGTACTCCTGATTTATGATGAGACGTTTCAGTGAAATTAGTTTGCTTCATCTATAGTAGGCTATGCTATAAATAATGTTTGTAGAAGGGATCTATAAATAGATTTATAAGCACATTGTTGGACATAAATCTTCACTGTGGTATTAACAGTAAAGATGTACAATTAGGATTTTAAAGGTATTATTCTACTTGTACGTTCAGACTGAGCTCTCTGTCTGTCTGTTTCTCTGTTTTGCTCTCTCACTCACTCACTGATGGTCTTTTAATGATTTTTAATAAAAATTGTTACAGTAACAATTTTCTTTTACTTATTTAGATTTTCAATATCCTTTATAGTATTTATTTCTTATTTATTTGAGCAGTTATTGGGGGGGGGGGGTGTCATGAGGTGTTATGAAATATCAAGATTATACACATGAGTTTGTAGAAGATTTTTTTTGTCATTGCATTGTATAAATTTTACTGCTTTACATTATATGGTCCTTTAGCATAGCCTACATGTATTGTGCATACAGCTTCTTTTACATTTTATTTTACATTTTATTTTACATTTTATTTTACATTTTATTTTATTTTGTATCATTCTGTTAACAAGAACTAGAACAAAATTATTGTCTCTTCCAGTATTTAGCTCAGATATAAATGCTATAGAAAAGTCACCTTTTCATGTATTGATGCTGTAGGTTTTGCTTCTTCTGTCTAATAGAAGAAAATGATAATGTAACCTTTGAAGAGCCTGTATTAAACACAGCTGTGCACATCTCTGTCACATGTAGATGGGTTGGCTGGCAGAGACATTACATGTTGCTTATAAGTATCACAATAAAGGTTTTGTTCCATATGTATTACCTCTTCCAGGGCCATGTAACATGAAAATCAATGTTCAGCAATTGTACACACAAAAAAAGATATTATATATATCCACTCCTGCCTCAGTCAATTGTATATGGAATTATGGTTCATTTCTGTTACATAAAATTGATATGAAGTTACTATTGTTTATAAAAGCTCTTGTTTGAATGAGTTACGATTAATTGTGGAGAAACTCTTTATGTTACAGGGCCCAGAAGAGTTGTACATTTTATCCTATCAAATTTAAAGATCCATCCATAATCCTTTCAAACATTCTTCTGAGCAGACTCTGAAAGTTAATCCTCATGTCTCTCTATGTTTTGTATCTTCAACTCTGCAGGCGATGGAGGATGGTAAAGGAAGATACGGTCCAGAATGTGACTGGTGGTCATTAGGAGTATGTATGTACGAGATGCTGTTTGGTGAGACGCCCTTCTATGCAGAATCACTGGTAGAGACGTATGGCAAGATCATGAACCATAAGGTAAGTTAGGCGTTTGCCGCGCAGACCTGTGATATTTTGTTTGTGGTAAATTGATCCCTTTTGATTTGTTCTGTTTTGTGAAATGCTTTTTCCAGTGTGGATGTTCGATGTGAAAAAGCAAATTTGGTATCAGAATTGATCATACACAGATTGAATATTGAACGTAATCATTATTGTGCTGTTCAAACAGAGGATTTGATATATTACAAATTAAGTGCTATGCAAATGCTGAAATTGAAACATCTGATTGATATTAATCAACATCTTGCAATATACTTTTGATGGCTAGGTGTACTGTGCACACCTTTTCACCCAGTAGTTTGTATTACTTGTATGTTTATAGTGTTTATAGTCTACAAATTTATCCTAAAATCCAACGATACATCACAAGTGTCATATTTCATTTAAATTTCTTAAATTTCTTACAGATGCTAAATTTGATATTATAATAGGACTAGACAATAGAAATTGAATATTTGCATCTTCTTAATTAATTCCTTTTATCACCCATTCTTCTCTTTCAGAATCAATTTGATTTCCCGCCTGAAACGGAAGAAGAAGTCGCTATTTCAGAGGATGCCAAGGATTTAATATTAAGCCTCATCTGTTCAGCGGAAGCACGACTAGGGCGCAACGGGCTACAAGACTTCAAAGACCACCCCTTCTTCAATGGCATTGACTGGCAAAATATCAGGAACAGTGAGTTTACATTTTGTCTTAAGCTTTGTTGGGTTTGTCAAGGAAAACACAGACATCGTGTGTTACAATCTGCATCAATTGGTATTGCTCTTGGTAATCATGTAAATGCTCTCAAAATGAGACCTTGTCCCACACTTTGCTCTCTGTTTGTCTTCAAAAATATCAACAAAAAAAAAAAAAAGTAGTAATGATAATGAGGTCTCCATTTCCAAAGAACAAAGAGGAGAACTACTAGTATGTACCAGTGTATGATACAGACATATATTACAGCTGCTTTATACATTGAAATCTGCTGGTACTTTGTAGGCAATATTGATAGAAATTCACTCTTTTTTTTGTTTGTCATATTGATTTGTATTGAAAGTGTATTGCAAACAGATGAGGAGTAAGTGTGAAATGTTATTGTTGTAATAAGTTTTGCTATTATATGGTGGTTGATAAGTGGAGTAGGAAATAAATGATCATATTTATGATGAGCATTGATCAAATTTATTCTTGTAGGACATCAGGTTCTATACTTCTATTTAACCCTGTAAACAATCATCGGATCGGACGCCGATACCGATCCGATCAGGGGTGATCGGATAATATTTCTGATCGCCGATCAATAAAAATGATCGGAAAAAAATCGGCCTCTTCCGATCCGATCATAGCCCCAACTTACAGGGTTACTTCTATTCATGGTTCTATTCAGGGTTTAAAAAGGATGAAAGAAGAATCAAGATAAATGTTGCAAGTTATTGTAATTGCCTTAGCATTCACAACTACTGTGTCAAATCGTCTTAGAATGATATATCATTGTAAAATATGTTCTCTTTTATCGTATCACTCAATGTGTCACCTCTTTCACAGTGACACCTCCCTACGTCCCTGATGTCAAGAGCGCAACGGACACCTCCAACTTTGACGTTGATGAGGCGGACCTGAGGAACTCTGAAGTGTTACCTCCCAGCTCCCATGCTGCATTCACAGGCAATCATCTACCCTTCCTGGGTTATACCTTCACAAGAAATAGGTGAGTCATGAGATGATGTCAAGCTCTTTATTAAGGTTAGAAACCTGTCTATAAAGACCACCCAAGGGAGACAAGAAAAGTGGTCTTTATGTACAGGTTCCTTTAGTACATGTTTCAAGGAGAACCCATTTTCAAGGAAAACAAAAAAATGTGGCCTTTGTAGACAGGTGGTCTTTCTATACAAGTGGTCACTAAAGCAGGTTTAGAACCCCCAGTGGTCTTTATGTACAGGTTCATTTAGTACATGTTTCAATGAGAACCCATTTTCAAGGGAAACAAAAAATGTGGCCTTTGTAGACAGGTGGTCTTTCTATACAGGTGGTCACTAAAGCAGGTTTGATGTACATTTGATACATCATTCATCCTCAACTCTCCAGTCCCAGTACCATGGATATGATGTCAAATAGGTCTTATGGTTTACTAGCAAATGCATGTTGTTGTGGTGTCTACCTCCCAGCTCACATGCTGCCTTCACATGCAATTGTATGTACCTTTCCTGGGTTATACCTTGACATGAAATGGGTGAGTCATCAGATGCCGTGGAGCTCTGAGTGAGGTGGATAGTTGAGTGGTTGTGGGAGGTGCATATGGTGAGGCATTCACCCTCATCCAGTTGTGGTCCCTTGGGTAGATGTCCTTGGGGTACTTCTTTTGCAAGTAAAGGCATGATCTTGTCCCATCTGAGGTGTCACATCCAAGCTCATATTTTGTTTTTCTCTTGATGACTATGTAGATTGATGTTAGTTTAGGATGAAGAATGGAATATCTCTAATGGTCTGAATAAATATACGGGGGCTCAGGGCGAATTTGCCCCCGAAATGCCCAAAAGAGCCCCCGAAAATCAGAAAAGTAGCCCCCGAAAAATAAATATTAATTTTTTCTCTGGCTGTTGGGTTATTTTTTATCATTACATTTACATATTCCTTTAAAAAATGATGAATTATTATAGAGCAAAATTTAAGATTGCACTTTATAAAGTAGATTCTTGTAGTTTGACTGTCAGTTACCCTGACAGGCAGTGAAATAAAATAGTGCCAACCCATTTTGAGCCATTGCTAGCTTCAGATCTAAGTATGGAACATGGAGGCTAACTTTACAAATGAAAGCCAGCTTTCACTCGCACCAAACCTATTACAGTCAAACCTGTCTATAGCAAGCGCCCAAGGGAAACACAGAAAGTGGTCTTTGTAGACAGGTTCCAACATGTATTTCTTACATTTGTTTTAAATGCTTATAATTGATTTTTAATGTTTTGTTGGAAACATGAATAAATTTGAAATTAAAATTGAAATTACATGTTTCAATGAGAAACCATTTTTAAGGGAAACAAAAAATGTGGTCTTTGTAGACAGGTGGTCACTAAAGTGGGTTTGACTGTACATTTCCATCCCTTGGTGCTAGATGTTTTAAATTAATCCTATGTACCTATGCCACTAATTGCATTTTTGCCCCCTTTTTTGTTGTTGCTATCATCTCTCACCAGCAATCTCTCTGATCTGGGTAAACTAGCGGATGTGAAAGAGGTGATATCCAGTGGTATCAAGGAGGGCGTCGTCGACAGTGCCCAGGTAGAGAGCCTGGAACGACGGATTAACAAACTAGAGACCGAGAAGACTGAGCTCACTAACAGGGTATCAGGTAAGAACTCTTAAAGCATGTCTATACTAGTTTGGCCAGGAGGGATTAGACCACCCAGCCTGGTCACTGACAGGTGGCTATCTCATCAACTCAGCTCACAATTAACATAAGAAAAAGAGGATCATGGGGGACCAACTGGAACTGCTTCGGCATTGTTTTCTATATAGAGGGAGCAAGTAGCTATAAGTAGTACAGTGGGGCTTTAAAATGCCATAGTAAGGGGGACACTGGTTCATTCACTTGGCTTTCAATGGAGAGGTTAAGGGTTCCAATCTATGTCCAGTGCATTTGTCTTTGGATAGGGTATTCTGTCTAAATAGTTGTGTTTCCAAGCCAGGTATATTTGTGTAGATTTCAGATAGAACTGTCTGTCTGTGTGCTGTTGATGTTTGCTGCAGCCTAAGCCTTTAAAGTGATATCCAAAGGACCTTTGCTTAGATTCATCGTTTCTTCGATATTGAATTCTTATTATGTAGACTAGTTTTATTTTTGTAGGAGAATTTACCTGTCAAGAACGAGCTAATGCTCATGATATATCTGTGTTATTCGATTTGCTTATGTCTTTATAATGCACTTGTCATTTGTAAGACGCACCTCTTGACCCCCGGGAATGGTGCGTCATGGTTGCGTCATGTTCCCCAAAATCGCGACGCACAGTACCGTCATGGCCGCAAAATGTCCGTCACAATACTGACCCATATGTGCGTCATAGTAAGTCACTTTACCACGTTGCGTCATTTGGTGTGTCAATGGGACCGTCACTTTCTCCAAGCAGAAGTGTTTCTCAAATGTGCGTCATTGGCTAGTCTGAGTAGTCATTTTCATGAAATGGTGTGTCATATGTTTGACTCAAATGTGCGTCGATGGAATGTAATGGTGTGTCACTTTCTGTGACGGAAGGTGCGTCATGGTATCAAAATGTACGACTCACATCGGTACAATGACGCACCATTCCCGGGGGTCAAGAGGTGCGTCTTACAAATGACAAGTGCATAAGTGTCACTCAAATCTTTTCTTTTGTTTGATGAAGATTTACTGTCCATTTCCGTTCACAGAATTAAAAAGCAGCGGAGGTGGAGAGAATGATGAAGTGAGGAGATTACAAGAAGAAATCAAGTCGTTCAAATCTAGAATAGCAGGTATGTGGATCACAAGTAATCTTTAAAGCTATATCTGTTATCTGTTAGACAATAAGTACCATGAAATATTTCCTGTATGTTCAGTGACATACCACTATTTCATTTTATTTCATTTTAAAGTATGTCAGATGTATTCCATTTTTAGTGAAGTTCAGGGAGGGGGGGGGGGGCACCAGCCAAAATTCAAGGCAATGTAACAAATTTGCCTGAAATGGTTGAGACTTTAGTAAACCTGTTCATTTAGGATATATGCTTAATTGAAAAATGAACTATATTTGTCAAACATAATGGTGCCTTAAATTATTTACCTCCCAGACAGCACACAATGTGGTCATGAATGTAGAATATATATTTTATCAAGATTGTGTGAATGTTTGCTCCTCTATTTTACTTTTTTTTTTCATCTTGTTTTTTTTCCTTTTGTTATATTCTTTTCTTCCTATCTTATCTTATCCCTCTTCTTTTTCTTTTCATTCTTCTCCTTCTTCATTTGTATTTAAAATGCAAGCCCATTATTGTACATGGTGATCATAAGAGCATCATTTAATTTTTTTCCTCACGATTTGTTTATTTGTCAAAGCCTCTGAAGCAGAGAGTAAGAATACGAGAGATAGCTACCAAGCCATGGCCAAAGAGATGCAGAGTGCGGAAGATGAGAAGTCTAGCAAGATCAAGACATTAGAAAGAACTTCCAAGTAAGAGAGGACAAAATTATTTGTTTGATTATCATCTCCTGATGTATATTACTGGGCCCGTCTTACAAAGAGTTGATATTAATTGCAACTTATTTGCAATTGATATCAATGGCAACTACGTAGGTAAGAGATAGGAGATTGCAAACTTGCGATCATTTGATTTCAATCAATCTCAACTCTTTGTAAGATGGGCCCTGATGTTTATTACATTTTGTTACAACAATGAGAACGATCACTCGGAAGACCAAATATCTATTGTATGAACTTCCTTTTCATCTAATTTTACATGTGGAAACCCTTTTCCTATTTGATATTTTACATTTTCGAACCCATGGAATATTTAATTTAACTGTAAATAAGAGATGCTTTTCACATGCAGGCTTGTAATAGCATGATATATTTCTGATGCATTGATCCTTGGGCTATTTTGTCAGATATTGATGTAGTGTATCATAAACTTAATCTGTTGCATTCATTAACAGTTGTGTATTTCAGTGAAGCATTTCATTTCTATTAATGTTTGTAAATGATGTATAAATACGCTTTATTTCTTCACAGATTAATAAAGCAGGAAAAGGAGAATCTAGAAAGAGAAGTGGAAGAAATTCATGAGAGAAATCGCCAATTAAATAAAGAAATGAAAGAAGCCAAATCACAAGGGAAGCTTGCCATGCAGGAGTTCACAGAAATTAATGAAAGGTAAACAATCATCGCTCTTAACATCTCATGAGTAGCCTGTCCATCGTAGTAACCACTGAACCTTTATAGATAGATCAATGGAGGACTAAACCTTGGTCTTTATTGACAGGCAGTTGCTGTCCAGATTTGACTGATCAAAGAGAAACTATATAGAGGAGGTCTTGAAAGATTAGTCACTATTAGGTCACTACGAAGGTTTGACAAAAACTGCTAACAGAAAACAGAGGGTAAACTGTTTAAACATGTAGCCTTCTTCTCTAATGGGAAGTCTTTATAAGTAGCTGGTCAATTGGGCAGATTCAACATTGATTTAAGTATCATTATTTTTAGGCATAAAATATATTCATATTGTCGCTAATAAAGTGGACCTTCCCCCCCCCCCCCCCCCTCCTAACAAAGGCAACTCATTGAGTATATCTATGAGACACTCATGATATGATAATGAATATGTGACATTAAAAAAGATGTATTATGCACAATAGATATGGAAAAACATATTCTCATGTCCGAGTGAAGACAAGTTATCATTTAGCTTTGCAATTTTATCCTGTTTTCCCTGTAATCTATGGATTCACATTCAATCAACACCATCTTCCCTTGCAGGTATGCAGACATCATGTCCCAGAAACAGAAGCTCTCCCGAGATCTACGAGACAAGGAGGAGGAGATTGAGGTCGTCTCACAGAAAGTAGACTCACAGAGAGCAGACATTAGGAAACATGAACAGGCCAATAAAGAGGTAAAATATACATGACTATCAGTCTTGTATAACACGTGATATGGAAATTACTTATATCTTAGAAGGTATATATATAGTGATGGTCTGTAAGTGTGTCTGGGTGACTACACAATCTAGTGTTGTTGATCAAATGATTTTAGGGAAGAAGAGATTCTCAAATTGATTCATGTAATCAGATATTTCCTTAGAGACAATGGTGAGAAAAAATAGTGTTGTGACAGCAATATTCAAAACATGAATAGCCTTTGATACCCTTTTGAAATAAGAAGCATTTGTCATTATGCCCTTTTTATGTAATAATCATGCCATTTTCTCACTTCGATATTATTTCTTGTGGTAAGGTAATAGAGAGGTTGGGAATCTCGATTTTAATGACCAAATCTGTAGTAGTTCATCAGATACCCAAATTTTGTACAATTTCCTTCCTCTGAATATATTATGTCACAATTGTTCAATGCGCATTTCTATCTCGACTTTATTTCATTTATCAATACTCATCATTTTCTTTGCAGCTGGAAGCTCTCCAAGAAGATTTCCAGGTTGAGATAGCAAGGGAAAAGAAACTAAGACAGCAAAGTGATCAGAATATCAAGCAACTCCAGGATGAGCTGGAAGGCCTCAAGGTAACATCATATGCCTTTTGGTCTCGCATGTTATATGAGTCTCCAGGGGGGTGTTTCACAAAGATCCTAAGTTGAACTTATCTCTAAGTTTGACTTAACAATTATGGAAAGCCGTTAGCATCTTTGAAAAATATTTTGTTAAGTTATTTTAAAAGACATAAAATGTTTATTCAAATCATTCATTTTTCTATTGTCGTGGGAGATTTCATGTTCTTGATGTGGAATTTATGAAAAGTCTAAAATACTTGAATTTTTGCTTTTGAATATATTTTATTTTAAGGCTACAAATGGCTCTCCATAATTTTGAAGTCCAACTTAGAAAGTGCAATACAGGTGATCATTTATTGATTGTATCTACTCTGGCAAATGGTGTTAAGATGACAAATATTATTTCAGTCGTGACTTGTAAACTTATATGAATACAATAATCAATGTTATGTTGCATCTTTGATCATTAGGACTTTCAGAATTCAGTCATAATCCTCATTGGCATTTGTAGCCCCATGCACCCCTATTATTCCCCCAATGCATGTAGTTATAAACAGCCTGTTTACCACTGCCCATGTCCTTTCTCCATTGTGTTTGTAGGTGAACTCAGTAGGCCGAGCCAAGCCTGATACAGACAAGTATGAGAAGGAGGTAGCTCGACTCAAGCAGGAGATGGAGAAGAAAGAAGTCCAGTATGCTGAGGGTGTGGCCAAGGAGAAGTCAAGGCATACTATAGAAGAAAAGGTACGACCATTAGATTATTATTTGATTGTATGTCATTGGATATGATTGTACAGCTGGCATTCATTGTATAGACCTTCATTGTGTCGACATAAAAGTTGCTGCATAAGAATTTCTTTTGGCCTGCATTACCTTTTAATAGTTGGCAAAGTTTATCATGACTTTTCCTCCAGTAACGGTGAGCAGCATGGGCATTGGTTATGAACAGGTAATTCTTGAAATCTCTTCATTATCTTGTTTTCTTTACAATGTGATATTATTACTTCTACTCTAATCGTCTCTTCTATGTGATGTTGGGGTAGCAGATCAACTGAAAACAGGATAAAGTTACAAACTGGGATATCAAAGAGATCTACATCTTGTTTTGCTTATTTTCTTCCTTTCACGCGTTTCCTGAGAACACATATTTCCATCCTCCTCTCTCTCTCTCATCTTCTTCCATCAGATCTTGAAAGAGCAGGTCAACGAGAACGAAGACAAGATCGTGTCGATGCGACGGGAGATCACCTCCCTCCAGGACAAGCTGGGACGACTCCAGACTACCAGTACAGAGGACCAGCATGCTAAGATGAAGATGGATGATATGAAGAGGAACTATGAGAGGACGAAGGCTCTCATTAATGATGACAAGACCAAGCTTAGCCAAGATCTTGATAAGGTCGGTGCTCACTGTAGTGACGACATACGCATGCATACGAATGCATTAATCAGCTGTCTTCTTTGTTCCACTCAGGAGTCTTGTACACAATTTTTTTATTATACTGCCTTACAAGAGTGCCCTTGGCCTTAAAATTCCTTTTTAACGAACCACAAATAAAGAGAGGAAAAGAAAGCATTGAGATAGAAAATGTATATTAAATTGCAGTTATGTACTACTGATCATTTAATCTGAACTAGGCTAACTTCTATCAATGCCCCTCTACTCAGTGACATCCTTCTTGCATATAAACTCTAGAATGAGTATGTCCTCCATTCTGCAAATATCCAGTCAGGGTAACATTTCTCAGCTGCTGTTGGTAGTTCTCACCACGTAAATATGACTTTTATGTTGCTTCCTCATGGCAGACCCTTCTGGAAAAGGAGAGATTACAACGAGAGCTGAGACTTTCAGAAGAGAAGCTCGAGGAGATGTCCAGAAACAAGGATTCTGTGGCACACTGGGAGGCACAGATAGCAGAGATTATCCAATGGTAAGACCAATATGATCTTTTCTTCGATTCTGCTCCACATCCTGACCCTGACACACAAACTGCTCATTCAGAGTATTTTGAACAAGGGAGAACAGGGACCCATTTCACAAAGCCTTTCATCAATGACAAATGACAAAAATCAGTGACAAATCTGCTGATAACCAATCAGAAGCAAGGATTTATCTAGCTTATAACAAAAACTATCATTTGTCACTGATGACGAGTTTTGTGAAATGGGGCCCTGGTCATTTGAAAGGAAATATGAAAAGTGAAATAATTATTGTTTTAGCAGTAGAGTAATAAGATGTGTCCTGAGCATTATTGAAGATCTTGCCAGTAATCTGATTTTAGATTTTCTTTCTTTGTTTGTTAACATGCATCAAAGAAGTAAACATACAAACAATTATTGAAAGGAGTATTTCCATCTGCCCTTTTGCAAGAAATATGATGGCTTATGTGCTGTTGAAGAAATCGTGTCATTTTAGTTATGTTGACTTTGAGATATACTATGATTTACTTATGGTTTGCTTTGCTCAAAATGTTTAATCATTTGTCTGTTTCTCCGTCAATGCAGGGTCAGCGACGAGAAAGATGCTAGGGGATACCTGCAAGCTCTGGCTTCAAAGATGACAGATGAGCTGGAGAGTATCAAAGTGTCTGGCATTGTGGGTGCTGCAAGGGTGAGTAAAAGACCTCGAGATATGTACAAGACTTCTACAGGGAATGTTCAAAATTATCGACATTGATCAATGTGTCATGGATCAGTCGAATGGATTTTGACTAAATTTCTAGGCATGCTGAATTTCATAACAGCATCATGTTGGTGCATCAAGCCAAGCGATGGGTTTAAGGAGAGAGGGGGACAAGCACACTTTGACACATTTTCAATGATAATAGACAGTACATGACTTTCAAGTTGTTACTGATACTAATACGAACCATAGTGGCTAGCCTTTGTTATCTTTATTTGTAATGAGAACTTAAAATCTAATGATGATGAAAACAATTTGAAATAAGAAAGAAATACATTTTATTTCCCTATGATTATCATTCTTTTTTGTACTATTATATAATTGCTATTTTAGGAGAAGAGTTGGCAGTCAAGAAGGTCACAGCGGATGGACAGGATGGAGCTACTCAACCTACAGTCCAACCTCCGCAGTGAGATCCAAGCTAAGGAACAGATCACGGAGGAACTCAAAAAGGTCAAGGCTGCACATTCTGCAGATGAGAGGTGGGTAGTGGTAGTGGCAGTGGTAGGGGTAGTGGTATTGATAGAGAGAGTGGCAGTGGTAGTGGTACTGGTACTGGTAGCGTGTGCTGTAATGGAAGCATCAAAGGTAAAGCTGATGGAATTGCCGAACACATTATTAGTTGTATTTGTAGGGGTAATGGTATTGATTGTGGTAGCAATAGCGATAGTGGTAGTAGTAGTGGTACTGGTAGCGTTGGCTGTAATGGAAGCATCAATGTTAAAGCTGATAGATGGAATTGCTGAACACATTATTCAACCTTCGCTGTGTGGCCCATATCAGGGAACAGATCGTTGCAGGACTCCAGGCTACATGTAGCGCTTAGGGTGTTTAATTGTAGCTATAGTCATGGTAGTGGTAGTGGCAAGTTATCATCTTGGAAGAGGGAATCGCTGTACAATCACTTCATTGAGATTAGTGATCTAATAGAATTATAATTATTTTTCCCGCTTTCACATTATCTCTGTAGCAAATTGAGGAGTTCTGAAGCCAGGAATACAGAGCTGACGGATGAAGTGGCCAAACTCACCACCAGTGTTACCGAGTTGGAGCAACAGCTGCAAGAGTTAAAGCAAAGTGAGTCTGACATTCGGTTATCAGTTCTTGTAATATTCAAAATTTAAAATTTCCTCTGCCTGCAAATATGCACACCCTTCTGATTGAGTATTTGATAAAATTATTGCTTTGCTCTCTGTCAACATCTTACTGTAAATCTGATTGCAGAATGTACAAGTTATACTTGAAAATCTCATCAATGTTTCCACTTTTTATTTCCTTGATTAAAGTCTTTCTTTCAGGTTCTTTCATTTATTTAGCATTTGTAAGTAATCTATTGTTTCTGTTTTATCACGATTTTGCATTCAGATGCTGCAGACAAGGCTGGATCGAATCTAAGCTTCGCTTTCTTAGATAACTTAGATCGGTACTTGGATGTCGACACAAAGCTGAACTTTGACTTTGTAAGTATTCTCACATCCCATTGGTTTATTGCCTGTCATGAACATTTTCAAAGCTGTAGCCAAAAAATAGTCATAGTACCAAAGGTAGTGTGAATTATTTGCAGACACAACAAAGGGATAAAGGTAAAAAATTGCTCAAACCCTCACAAAAATGGAAATATATTCTCAATAGAAATTGTTGATCAAATACAACTCTGACAGCAGAATTTAGCAGTTGTATAATTGAAGGTTCAAATGAACATTGGATATCTTGTGTTAAATGGGACAAAAGATTTGATGAAAATTCAATTGCACTATTGTTTTCTTTTTGTGTTTTACTTTTTGTTTATACTTTATTGTTTCAGTCGTCATTTTGTTGTTGGATTGGTTTGGTTTATTTCTGTGTATTCTTTACTAAGTTCCAAGAGTTGAGCAAAATCTTCACTATTTTTTTCAAGAATAGATTAATGTGAAAGCCCCTAATTGGTACAAAAGAGAAGAAATTGGTTGTAAGGACAGGCTTTTCTTCATTCAAACATATGAAAACATATCTTGTGAAGTAGTATGAGGAAGAACAGTCATCTGTATAGAGAATTGTTTGATTCATATGTTGTGTGATAAGTTGCAGGAACAAAACCCAGGTTAATATTATTTGCACTTTTGGTTATGTTTTTTTTTTTCTTTCTTTCCTTATTTCATTTCCCAGAAGAATGAGCTGAAAAGGCTTTCACTAAGATTACAAGAGGTCTCAAATTTTATGTTTTTTAGTTTGAGTAGCTCATTCATGATATCCTCATATACATGTAGCTCTATATACCAAAGAAGAAATGTCTTTTATTCACTTTGTAGTCAGTTCATTCATGCTCAGACATTTGCACATCAAAACACAAAGTTTCATGCTGCGATCATAATGTAAACGTCTTTTCCAGTAAACGTGTCTTTCTCTCTCTCTCCCTCTCTGTTGCTGCATGTCCAGTACAGTTAAAATAATGGTATTTTCCTTGCCAAGGACTTAGGCAGGATTTGTCGAATTGGGTGTGTACAAAAAAGTTGGGTGTGTAAACTTTTATTAACTGCAAAGTATGTGCATCACAAGTGCATAGCGCAAAGTCCTTGCGAGTCAGGGTCCAAATTTTGTTTTATTTTAAAGATGCTCCCTGGTGCAATCTCCAATTTCCACCTATGTTTTTGTTATATATATATATACATGTCTGATATATCATCATGAAGGTCAACAAGAAAACTTTATGCAAATTAGGTCGTGTGACATCATCAGGCTCATAAATGTACATGAGATGTACAATAAAATACATTAAATTTTTCTTCTTTTGTAATGTTTTTCAGGGTATTCATTGAAGTATGGCCTCATAGTTTATATTTTCTGCTTCTGCAGTATCTTTTGAATATTTGGTGAAAAATGCCTTGTAATTTGTATTTACAAAAATTAAAGTATTTAGGCAGGTCTCGGGACTATTATGGAGCCACAATGTACACGCAACACCATCGCAATCTCTCTCTCTCTTATCAGTACTAAGATAAAAGCAGCATTCTGGAACTCAGTGTATGGTTTTCTTTTACTTTTAATTACAAAGTGCATTTGATAATACAATATAACTTTAAAGCATAAAATATCATGACAAAATCATTTATGTCTCTATTTACAAAGATTATAATACAAAAGAATTTTTAATGACAACTGCGCATGTACTTCTGAATTATACAATGTACATAAATTATCGTAATTTAATTGTTAAAATCTTAATACAATCATCATGATCTCCAATAATTGTAACAATATATATATATATATATATATATATATATACATATAGACAGAGAGAGATAGATATCAAGGTTAATTGATTTATTAGTGAATTTGATAACAAAAAAACAAAAAAATAGCTTACCGTGTACATGTATCATTGAAGTAATAGTCCTTTGTTTTCATTGTTAACAAACAAATGCTGTACATGTCAATGATTGCATATTACAAATATATCATGCAATATAAAAATTAAGATGTTCATGGTATATTAATGAACATGCAAGAAACAATTTGAGCAAGCTTGTATGTATTTTACGTAAAGTGTATCAAATAAAGTTTCGAGTACAAAGTACAGCGTAGCAAAAAATACAAACATATAATGCCAGTGCAATGCTGAATGGATGATGAATTCAGTCATAAAGGTGTGTGAAATATAAATCACTTTGGTAAACTAAAAATCTTAATTTTTAAAAATCTATATTGCAATGCAATCGGTGTACATAAAATACAACATGTATATACAGAAAATAATAAAGGTATTGTTCATTTTCCTAAAGCTTAAAAACAAATAATCTTGTTCTAAAAGCTACCGGTATATTAATTCTAACTAATTCCATATTTGGGTGGTGGGTCTTAGCTAACAACATGAAGTAAATGTACATGATATTTACTAAAACTCATGAAAAGATATACCTTGCAAAAATGGTCCAAGAAGATGCCATCCTCTTCTAACATTTCCGGAGTGATCAGCTCAGATTGCATTTTCTGCCTCCTAGAAAAATAAACTGATATCAGCTTTAGCCTAAAATACAGCATTTATGCAATAAATACAATCAACAGACAGAGTCGTCACCAGAAAGTAGAAATATAGCAGTAGCAATAAGTGCAAGGTAGCTTTTTATGTGAAAATTACGTTTCATATTTTGAAGTCGGATTTTATTTCCAAACATGCAAAAAATTAAGTCATAAATCGTAATGAGAATACCGGTAAGTTATAGACATAAACCTACCTTTTCAGCTACTTTCTGGGCCACTCTTGCTCGTTGAGGGTTGGCCATTTCACAACAAACTCGAACCACTGTGTGTGGGACTACTATTTTGAAATTTTGAGATTTCAGAGTCATCATCTGGGAAAATAGCTTGAATTGAATATAGAGGTATCTGAATATGAGAATTCACTGTTTCTTTATGCAATTTTATCACTGGAATAAGCGCTTGATGACATCTTGGTGGGATTTGAGGACGATGTTTACTCAAAGTCACTACAAAAATCAGTAGAAGTTCGCCAGTCGGCGAGCACACAAAAAGCAGTGGGGAAAAAATGATGTTATTTTCATTAACGTAGGGTAACATTACATATTGCCTTCTACAGAGGCTGCCATGTTAAAGGCACAGCGCTCCATAGGGTTACATGTTAGAGGGAGGTTATAAATTAGGGTCAATTTAATCGAACGTAGATCTATAGGAGAAGTGCACGGCCGCCGTGTTGAAGCATACCCTGTGGTAATTGAAAAATGGTTGTGTTATTTTGAATGTGGCCACGTAAAACATGGCCTACATGGCTCGCTAGCTAAGACCCTGTTCCTCGCACTATGACTGTCGGTTTGTTACTTGCCGACTTTAGGTAGCATTAGGAGAGAGAGAGAGAGGGAGGGAGCTAGATCCACTTGATTTTATTATGTTAGATAGCATTAGGAGAGACAGATTACTTGATAGAGTTGGCATTGTATCCCTACTGTAGTTGAAGTATACACCCTTGGTAATTTGTTGTGATAAGTTTAGATGATATTATGAGTCATAGATTGTGATTAAAATGCGTGTTTTTGATAACGTGTTTGCTCCTTCAGATCAATATCCTAGATAGCTTTTAGAGGCAATTCAATGCACATTTAACTGTATCCACTATTTTATACATTGTGAAGTAAAAATGTGGAGGTTTTGTCAGTCTCCTGTTTTTACACTAGTTATCTATTCATGACCTCTGTAGCCATTTTAAAAAATGAGGACAATTATATCAAACATACATTTTTTAAAATCCTGGTGGACAAGATGTGATTTTGGTTTATAATGCACATTTTCAAAGACTCAGGCATGAGTTGCCTCAGGCATGGTACTCAATGGGTTACTGTTTAGAAGGCTCATTGTTCAAGCAATGTTCTCTCACAGATATGTGTGTTCTTGAGAGTTTTTAAAGGGGGTGTAGCATGGCAAATACTGGTTAATGCCATCTACGACTTCTTTTGGACAATTGCACGTAAACAAATGAACTTGATTAATGGTCAGCCTGCGGTAGCATTAACGAAACAGACGGTTTTGCTTCGTTTCTGTTTCGCGTATGTTGCACGCACGTGAATTCTGCGGTCGCGTCGTCCATAGTCGTATTATACCCGATTGGCCCCTAGTCAGGCCATGGGAAAGACACATAGTCTCGTCATGCTGCACTCCCTTTAAACATATGTCTGCCACTCGGATTTCAGTACCCAGTACACAATTTGTCATGCAGTGTTTACATCTTTGTACAGCGAAATCGTACATGTGGAGAAAAAACTTGTCTATACACATTGAAACATTGTAACCTGCACTACTCGTAAAGATGGATTGTAGATACCTGTACCTGTGTTCATACATGTTTTGTTACAGCCTACCCTAACTTACTATAGTAATAGTAATATATTAAAGGTTTTTTCATCTCTTTTTCTGCAAAAAACAGATAACATTTATTCAAATTTATTCAAATATCATTAGCTCAGTTCAATTGTTCAGGTAGTCTGTTATATTTCTTATATATTTCTTATTCATTATATAAACTGTAGATTTTGTTTCCATTACTGTCTGATTTCATGATTTCTATTTCAAGGAATCTCTATTTCAATGAAGAGAAAATATGTGGATATGAATATATAGCCTCTCTGTTTCTCTATATAATATACATCCATCCTAAACAAAGAAGTATCTCTTGATATTTGCTTCTTTCATTGGGTTCTATAATTTATCCCATTGATTTTATGATATTTACTTTATGTATTTTAATGAAACTATCAAGCCTGCTTGAAATACAAAATTTCAATTCTATCAATCTACCATTAAGCTTCTGTACTATATTCCAACATTGGAATTTGGGAACCTGAGAGTTACCTCCAGTGTCAACCATTTCCTGTTGGGTATTTTAGTTTTAACATCCAACCATTACAATGCTTCTGGCCCTACCATCATCACTCCCATCTTAAATTTACTTGATTTGACTTTTTTTTCCTCCCTCCAAGGCTTTTATAGACTTAGATTGTGAGTTGTGTTGATTTGTTGTTGTTTATAGCTCATTGCTTTCCAATCCATTGCAAACCCCCATGTCATCGTCTCTATGTCCATTCATTGCTCCTCACACAGTCTGACATGGATCCACCAGAAAGAGACACAGGTGCTCCAGTTGAACCTGTGGCTACTGATGATAAGGTAGGTACCACGATAGCTTTCATTGATTTGAGTTTGTCACTCTTCCCAATAGCTTGTCCATGCGATACATTCATTTTCTTCCCCATCTCTGTATTGTGTGTTGCTATCAAAGTACCACAAAGTTATTGCATTTGTACTAAAGGAATAAATAGTTTTTTATGTGCTATTAAATGTGATGGGTTTGGGACCTATCAATTTCTGGAAATTGTTACATTTTAACTTGATATTTGCTTCCAATTTGCATACTAAGCTTGTATGGTTTATCAATGCAGAAATATTATAAAATACAAGCATTGAATGTTAACTGTTTTGAGGGCAAGGGGTAGGTAGGAGGATTAGGATTTTTTTTAAATCGCTTACATGGCTGTATGTGTTATCATCTTCAATTTTTTTGGAGCAAACTTTCCCAGAAGTAAGGTTTTACTTTTTGATTGGAAGAAAAAAAAACAAGAGAAAAAACATTTTAGGCATCCTTTGGATGGTGGTTACAAAGCACCACTTCTTGAAGTTGCTTGACTATTGGAATGAAACTCTGACCGTAGGTTTTTTAGGCCATTTATCTTTATCTGCATCCATTTTTGTGTGGTTATGCATCTCCTGTATTGTCATATCAATTGTTTCAACAAAATTGTCCATGCTTGCTCAGTGCTTCTGTGTTTGTGTGTATCCATACAATCAGTTATTGTTCTGCTGTGAATGTTACTTGTGAAACATTTTCCCTGGGAAAAAATAATATGCCAAGGAGACCATGCTTTATCATGTAGAATTTTGAGTGTGGATTGATTGATGATGTTATTTTGTTGTGTTTTTGATAGAATGGGTGCTAGAAACCTTGAATTCATTGTTATTACAAATGGAAATATTTACTGCCGTGAACAAGAAGATCTTAATGAAAGACCATCTCTTCTTTAAAGGGATTGGGTAACTTTGTCTCAGATTCTGAAACAAAATCCTGGATTTAGCTCATGCTGCAATGATAATCATAAACCTTTAGGTCAGTCAGGAACCCCATGACTTTTACAAGCCGATCGCCTGTCTGGTTATCAAGATATTTATGATTGGAAATCGAAATCAAATTTTGCGTTTTCCTAACGGTTTTCATAACACTACAGTCTATTGGGGAAAACGAGTATGGTAAAACCGGTCACTCAAATATTTTTTACTTTTTTGAGGCACTTCTTGATCATTTTGAAGCGCAATTTTTTAGGGCTTCAATATTAGGCAAACATCAGGCCACCCTAAAGCATTGTAGTTCATACATCTGTCTCATCGATTTACAACATTGCTCTTATACAGTAGGCTTTACGGTTGCACCATATGGGAGAGGGGGTAGTATCGGGGAGTCCTGGAAAGGACTGTCGGTAATCTTTCTTTCTTGAGTGTGTGTTTAGTCCTGAAAAGGACTGTTGGTAACCTTTGTTGAGCTTATAGTTCTAAAGAGAACGATTGGAGAGGATGGGTAGTAGGAGTGGCTCGACGTTTCAAAGAGGTTGACTTTTCGTCGTCACTCCTGACATCAGCCTACTGTATATCTACATCACCGTGCAAGCCGATAATTATAATCAGCATCTAACATTGCTCTTATTGTCCATTTTCAGAGTGTCCATTCATCGGGTACATCGTCAGGGGAGACGCCACCTCCCACACCCAAGCACAAGACGCACAAATTTATGATAACCAACTTCCAAGTACCAGCCAAGTGTGCTCACTGTACATCACTGATGCTAGGTCAGAGTAGGCAAGGCATGATGTGTGAAGGTATGTCTCTTATCTATTTATCTGTGAACATTCATATTAAAGTCTTGAGTTCAATGTCTTTAATAGAATCATTTGCACTTTTAGATTAAGCAGTTATAATCGAAGACATCTGATTAGTTATTTTTTTATTTTCATATTTTTTTCTTATAGTGAGGTGATTTTGATGTGGTGTATAGCTTGAATTGAAAAAGAGAAAGTAGACACTTCATTAAAAAATAAAAACAGCAATCGTTACATGTGCATGATTATATTTGGGTAAGCAGTTTACTAGAGTTCAATTATAATACTTCAATAAGGTATTTCACCTTTCCTTCTTATTTTTTGGGGTAAATTTTGTATTTGTTGCATAGGTAACTGCAAGATACTCTAGCGGTTATTATTTCTATGTTTTTTAATATTTTTTTCTTTTAATCAACAGTTTGTCACTTCGCTTGTCATGTGGCATGTGCAGAGAAGGCTCCTAGTATGTGTCCAATCTCACAGCAACAAAGTAAGTTCATTATCGTTTAATAAACTCTTTCTTTATCTTGATAAAGGTAATAATTATAGAGTAAGTACATTACTTTAAAAATGAATTGTCTGAATAGTGCTCAGCTTGCATATATTTGCTTGAGTTCATATCAACTATTCAAAACGTCTGTATCGTGGTGATTGTGAATTGCAGGAATGAGTTGACTCCGATTGTTATATTGTGTTTTTCCTTACAACGGTCAGTTGACAAGATTTGGCATATGTTGAACTCCTCACGAAGGCTTCATTGATATAAAGTACATGTAAATGTACATGATGAAATAGGATTTACAAAAATCTTTTTCGTAAAAGGTATTAAGTGACAACAAGGATAGTTTATGTCATACACTGTGACCTTTGACAAATGTTGTACTTCCTTTTGCAGTGGCCAAACCTCAAGGTATAGACCCGACACGAGGCATCGGTACTGCATATGAAGGTGTACTAAGGATCCCCAAGCCTGGTGGTGTGAGGAAAGGCTGGATGAAGCAGTTTGTAGTGGTATGCGACTTTAAGCTCTTCCTCTTCGATGTCTTAGACGGGAGGGCGTCAGAGCCTACCAATGATATCTCACATATCTTAGACATGAGGTAAGCAGTGTAGGAAGCCTATGGCATTATCTTTCTGCTGATGGTTGTACAAAGTTCTATTGGCCGCTATTATAATAGTGCATGTGAAAATTAAAAGTATTAAAAAGATATCATAAAGGAAGATCACCAATGCCATTTTTCTTGCAATTGTAGGCTTTTAAGAACCTTTTTGATGTGTTTGCTCATTATTTCTGACAGATATTGTTCAACATGATAATCATCAAAATTTAAATTATAGGTATGTGTATGCTGCCCACCATTGTAAAACCTAAAATTGCAATGTTGGTATGGGTCTCGCATGTTGATTTTCTCAGCAATCAATTACAGTTATTTATTTGCTTGCAGTTTACAAAAAAATTTGTCAACAATCTCCCAGCTCCTATTAAAGATATTACTTCTTCGCTTTCTTTCAGGGATGAAGAGTTTTCTGTCAGTTCTGTCTTGGCTTCAGATGTCATCCATGCTCCTTCCAAGGATGTACCATGTATATTCAAGGTAATAGAATCTGTTTGCATTTCTGACTGTTTGCTAGCAATGGAAAAGAAGGCTTATCATAAGTTACTGAGGGGTAATATATTTGTGTTTCAATGACGCATACAGACATTTAACTCTGTACTATCCCTTCCTTTTGGCTTGTCATTGCCCATAGGGACTATGTATTGTATGAAGTACTTGTCAGAAAATTTGTGAAGTCGAGATACTTTTTTGTTCAGAAAGATAGGCTGCTCCGGTAAGGTTTAATTCATAGCACAAAGTTCCAAACTCTGAAGATATTGATAAAGATCTTCCTAACGTGAAGTATGAATATTAATCATCATATATAATCATCGATAATAATAATAATAATAATAGCTCACATTTATAATGTGCCTAATACTTAGTTTCTATGTGCAGCACATATTATTACCCAGGTCATCGGATTCAGGCTTACCCGCAACACAATTTATGCACATTTTCCACTCCCTGGGGAGCATTCCTAACTTTATCTTCTCACCTGTCTTCTGTACCCCCTCCCCACCCAGGTATCTGTATCCCAGCTGAATCCCCCAGGTCTGTGTGCTCAGCTCCTGCTCCTAGCCGACAGCGAGGCGGAGAAGAGGAAATGGGTGGATGCCCTCAACAACCTCCAACGTCATCTCAAACACAATCAGCTGCCAGACAGGACAGTGTTCAGAGCCCAGGAGGTCTTTGATAGCAGTATGCCTCTGGTCAAGGTCACACACTGTGCAGATATTGTCGGTAAGTCCTAGTAATTTGTATGTGATAATGTAAATTGTATGAATGTAATAATGTAAAGCGCATAGAGGATCGATTATTATGCGCTATATAAATCATAATTAATATTATTTTAATTAGATGCAACATTTCTGATCTGGAAGTATCCAGTATATTCGATCAGTTCGTACCTTCATAGTGATTTAGTCCAGTGATTGGATAATTGGTAATGCTTGCAAATTTAAGTTTACTCTTTGCTCAAGAGTAGGTTGACATTGATACATTTCTTTGATTTCGTAGAAAATATCCAAACTTCCTTAAGCGATTTGCAAAGTGACTTGGTCAGTATTGCCTTCAGGTATCTTAAATAAATACGTAATGGAGCTTCAGGGGTCTTGGAAGTCCAAGCTGCCTCGTAAAGCCAGTCTTGTTTAGGGGGAAAATGATCATCATCATTTGAGCAGGACAATTCCTCTTTTCATGTCAGCATCTCGAGAAAAGAAAAACAAATCATAAAGTTTACTGTTGAGGCATTTTGAATCCCCCCTCCCCGAAATGGAACCTGTAGCATTACTGTTTTTGAGTCATTGTTTCATCCACCTTTCATTATTTCTCATCTTTTTTTGGTTACAGATGCGAGTAGGTTTGTGATAGGAACTGAGGATGGTCTGTACACAGTGGAGATCTCGTCTGGTTTCATTGTGCGGGTAGACCGCAAGCAAATCCATCAAGTACGGGTACTCAAAGATGAACAACTAGTCATAGTCATATCAGGTACGTTCTTTCATCCCCCTATTCTAAGTTCATGTTTGGAAATCAAAATCAGTGATCATGGTAATCCCGGTTTGGCAAATCAGTCACATACTCTTTACATTTTTGTTATCAGGGACTTCTCTGTCTCTCTTTATTCATGGAATTATCAGCACAGAAACATTACCTACCTGACTATGGTGAAGGTACATTATGTGAAACATAACTTGGCATTCCTTATAAAAAAGAAAATGTGATCTGTCAAAATGAGAGGGGAATGTCAAATTGTGAGGCTGATTACTTCAAGAAAGTACAAAATCTTTCAATGTACTACCATATTCCATGCATTTTTATTCTTTGAACCCACAGGCAGGGGACGTCATTTACGTCTGTTCCCCATTGCTTGCCTGGATGGTGAGGCGACCGTCATCAAGGTAGAGGAACCCAGGGGGTGCACCATGTTCACTACCGGTATCATCCGCCAAGGCTCCACCACGTGCATGTGCGTAGCCATGAAGCGCACCGTCCTCATCTATGAATTCAACCGTAACAAGGGAAGGCATAAGCGCATCAAGGAGGTCACTCTACCGGCTCCGGCTCAGTGCATGGAGGTGTTTGGAGGAAGGCTCTGCGCAGGCTACACATCGGGCTTCGGAATGTTCAGCATACAGATGCAGGGCCAGCATGTAGAACGTGAGTAGATTTTAATATGTATTTGTACTATGAGTATCTTATACAGTAGCTTGCAACTGCACCATGTGAGAGAGAGAGAGAGAGAGAGAGAGAGAGAGAGAGAGAGAGAGAGAGGATTGAGGAGTCTTGAAAAGGACTCTGACTTGGTAATCTTTCTTGGAGGTGTATCTTGTGAGTTTTTATTAATCAAGTGGAAAATGTTAATCTTTTATTTTATTTTACAGTTGAGAATTATTACAGAAAATATTAGATATTTTATGGACATTACATCTACACCTATGCAATCCGTCAGTAGTAGAATATCTGTATTAACATCTGGAATCACCCTGAAAAGAAATTTGTGTGGTGGTATTTTCAGACCTATCATGACGTTGTGAGCAAGAAAAGTAACTTGGGTATTGAGATGATGCCGATTTATTTAGTATTGCTAGCCTTGCATATTATTCCTAGCAGAAAGTAGTTTGAAAGCAAGTGGAAGTGGGAGTTAGGAAGAAAGATGTATGACATAGCAGAGTAGAACATATGAAGTAGTCATAATAATTTGTAATTATCTAAGGTCCTGTAGCAATTTCAAGCTTTTCGTAGAAGATGAAATTATTGTGTAATCTTGCATTTTGTTCTCAGCTCTGCTGAACATTGATGATCCATCCTTGAGGTTCTTAATTGACATCCCTACTGAAGCACTAGCAGCTGTACAGATCAGTGAAAGAGAGTATCTACTCTGCTTCTCAAGTAAGTATTTTAGCAGTCTTGATATATATCAATTGATGATAGTATCACTCTTGTAAACACCTTTAGCATCTTTGAAAATATCTTGTAAAAGTCATTTTAAAAGGCATAAAATGTTGATTCAAATCATTCATATTTTCTATTATCAAGGAGATTTCATGTTCTTGATGTGGAATTTATAAAAAGTCTAAAATACTTCAAGTTTTGCTTTTGAATATATTTTATTTTAAGGCTACAAATGGCTCTCCATAATGTTTAAGTCCAACTTAGAGTTAAGTTCAACTTAGAATCTTGTGAAACACCCCCCAGCACAATTAAAAACAACACCTTGATAAGGAAATGATTGATTGATGCTTTTGTACACTTAAACTTAAAACATTGTAGTTGATGGTGGAGTTTATGCTATTTTCATGAGGTGTGGATCATCCCATTAGTAAAAAAATTACCCATTTGATTTTGTTTAAAAAAGGTCATATATTCAGAAATATGTATTGTAGTCTTGAAGTGTAGTTTTCCTTTGGCAATACTAGCGCTTATTTTGTCATTGTCTTTTTCCCCTATCATAGCTCTTGGTGTGTATGTGGACTTCCAGGGTAGGCGGACAAGGGAGCAGGAGCTTATGTGGCCTTCCCATCCAACTGAAATTGGTAAGTTTAAAACTCCTTGAATCTCGGTAAGATGTAGCAATGTCTTCAAAATTCTATACAATAAGCGCCTTGTTCCCTTAAAGGAACTAAATTTGTTGTTTCCCAAATATTAGAAATTGTGAATCTGTATGTGAATTACAATGAGAAGGGTTGTTTTGACAAATTTGTTTCATATAAACAGTATGAAGTGAATGTGAGGATATTGTTGCATAGCCTTAGATTTGTGATACCATTGTGATGTCATAATAAGAGGCACTGTGTGATGCCTTTTTTCCAGTGAATAGGATTGGAGCCCTTGTGTTGTCTTATACAATTAGTTTGCTCTAGGAGTTTTGTTGTTGTTGTCTAACTGATGTTTATATTTATTTTTTCCTCATTTTCAGCCTTCAACAGTCCATACCTGATTGTATATAGTGACATCTCTGTAGATATCTATGACATTGGGATCATGGAGTGGGTTCAGACGATACCCATCAAAGGAGTAAGTATCCAGGAATTACTAGAAGAGTATTAGCCCTTTCTTAAAAACAGTTGGGATTAATGGCAGCTTATTGGTGATTGATATCAATCACAAATTTGTACAAAAGAGATAGGAGACTGCAAAATTGCGAGTGATTGGAGGACTTGCGATTGATTTGGATCGATCGCAACTCTTTGTAAGATGTGGCCCTGGAATCATGAATTTAAATTTAGTCACCCTCTCTCATGAAGGTTTCATAGTATTGGCTTAAATTATTTGCCCAAAACTGCCATTTTGGAAGTTTGCACTCTAGCTACTGGAATACAAAACTTCAAAGGTCTTTACTCGACATTCAAGGAAGAAACCACTAAATTCTAGAGCAGTTACAAGTACCATCCATTGGACAATAACATCCAAACAAATACTCTCAAAATGATTAGTCCCCCAAGAGCTATTATCCATGTAGCAAAATGAACACAGTGAGACCTACTCATTCAGACTTATTATCTTTATCAATAGAACCAAGGCAATTGTGTATTAAAACAGTTACCGTGTACTCCAAGGATAATGGTATTTATGTAGAATGGTAATTGCATGTAACACCATTACTTCACTTTTCTACAGACGAGGCAACTGTCATGGGATGGCAGCTTGAACCTGAGCTTTGTCACCGATCTTCATGCACCACGCCTTGTGTACTTCCACAACCGACTTGCTGTATCAGGTAAACAGCTAATGCAACGTGTTTCTTAAACTTTTGAGAGTGCCCAGAACCGTTAAACCAATGACTCTCTCTCTCTCTCATTTGATAGCAAGATCGGTAAGATCAGTCAAAGCATAGAGTACTGCCAGAATGGCAGTGTAATTAATGGATTGTTAATTATGCACAACATGCTTTTGCATTTTTTATTTATTTTTATCTGACACCATGTTGGCAATATGGCGAGGTGCTATTATAGCGGTGCTTATTGTTTGATACGTACAGATTTTAAAAAACATTATTTTCTGTAAAACATTGCCAAAATTAAACTATTCGTCTGCGTAGATATGTTTTAATAAATCTTGAATCATGAACCATGGTCATGACTTTTGCTTTTGAAAGGCCCCTTATGTTCTGCAATTTCCTACGATCTCTTTAAATCAGGTAATTGGTATCAAATGGATGGGTTCTCATTTCAGATTGTTCTCTATATCATTTTCCTTACTTTGTACAGATCATGAGAAGTTGAATATCCAAACAGTCGTCAAGTCCAGCAAGCAACAAGCTAACAAGAGAAAGTTCTCCTTCAAATCCAAAGATGAAATCAGAAAGTAAGTTTTCTTTGTGCCAATCTTCCCCTGCACCCCAATAAGTCCTGGATATGTGATTGAAAGTTGATCCACAAAAGATCAATGTTAGATGCTGTGTTTTTTTGGACCCACCCTATAGTGATGTTATTTATTACTAGACTTACTCTACCCGATCCTAATGCATTGCTGGAATGTGTATTATTACACATGGTATAAATTGTTTGCTGTTTTTGAATCCCTACCAATCCCTTGTTGTTGATTATGAAGTGTTTAATCGAAACAAATTCAACCATTTAGGGATGAATTAACTCACTAGATGGCACATTTTATGAACGTGCTGTGCCTATTACCCCCCTCCTTTGCTTCTAATAGTGTCCATGCAAGATGTTATGTATATACCGTCTGCTTTGATAACTTGCATGTTAATCATTCATATTGACTCATATGCCTGGTTTTGCAATGTAATTTAATCATTTTTTAAAGTAGAAGTATAGAAAAGCATATATTTTTATCCATGTATGTTTATTTTACATTATCCTTTTGATAAAAACAAAACTTGTATGGTGAGCAGATCAACAAAGTTTCAACCCAGGTATGTAGTCTCATCCACAGACTCTAATTCATTCGGATCCTGCATATTTATTTATTAGCCTGATTTGCTCTTTATAACCCATAATCTATGTCTTTTCTGATCAACTTTAGTTGTGCGGATTCATTACTTTTTCTTTATTCATTTCATTTATTCAGACATTTAGTTTATATCATTTGTTCGTGTTTTTCTTCTTTTAAATGCATTTTCAAAACATCAGTTACACAGTGGTCAACTATCCTTAATGAACATTATTACCAAAATTATTATCATCACTCTATTTAATTAATTGTTGATATTTACTAATAAATACTACATCAATTGAGCAGCACTCTGCTTGCTGTTCATTCCTCTAAGTAGAGAAAACTGATAAATATGCATGCAATTGTCGTGCCATTTGAATTAAAATGGTCTCCATGTCATTGTGGTATTAACAGCTGTTCTCATTTTTGATATTTTCTGTAAAGTGTACAGTTGTTATAACTTTTTGTCTAGTTAAGATCATTTCTGTAGAACAAGCATTACTGATAGTTTTGTTGCTCTATTAGGTACTGATTTCTTTTTTTCTTTAAATTTATTTCAATATAATTTGCAGCATTTTGTGTGTCTCTTCCACTTTTCATTCTAAAAAACGTGCCTGAGATGTGATAGTATTGCACAATTTCACTTTGATTAAGAGCCTTCTTTAAATGCTTTAAATTTGATAGTTAAAACTTGAAATATTCTGCTTGTGAGTCTGTAGACCATAGTAGTTAGGTTTAAATTTTGCTCTCATTAAATAAGAATTTGCGTTTATAGACTTCAATCAAATGTTGTAGGTAGTGCTTAGTTTTTATGTAGTTTCGATATAAATTAAATAAGTAAAATTACCTTTTTTTGTCTGGCAAAATTTGAGTTGTGACATAAGAATACTAATGTTGACCTCTTACTCGCTGTGTATTCTGGGCCTATTTTTTAAGTGTGATATCAAAGATCAAGTTCGAGCACTGAATGCACATGGATAAATCCTGAATGCAAAGAACTTTGTTCGGAAAGCACCTTTAGGCACAAAATCCAACATCGTGTCAATTAACAGTTTTCAATACATATATTTGAATTTATATGAACAGGGTAGATGACTATTTTTACCATTTTTGACAGCAGATACAGAGTTATCCATAAATAGGCCTTTTCAGTGTGAACTGCATGAACAGCTGTTTTAGCTCATTCTAAAACCTTTACATGTATTTCCTCAGTTGCCTGTATCATGTTTCTGGTCTTCTTAGTCCTATTTAGTGTTGCAAATGGTTTTAATTTATTAAAATCAAGCCTATGTGTGTTGTCATTCCTGTATAAATCTCTGAATATTGATGATATACATGTAGCATTATTTACATGAATGCACATTATATTGTTTTATCATTATATCTCTCTGTATTCAAATTCATAGAAAGTTGTGTCATACTCATAGAGAATTCAATGAATCTTAGAAAATTGAATTGATTTTTCAAGATGATACCATATTAGTTTAATAATGCATGAATCTCTTCTCCCAAACCATTGTTTTAACAGTGTGCAAAGCAGTTTTATGCAGTTGCCTATAAAATATATAAAAGAGACTTATGCTGTTGTCAATATTCGTCACCTACAACATAGTGATTTTAAGTTTAAAATTCATTCAGGGTACATTGGTAATGAATTTTGTCTATTCTTGCCTCCTTTGACCCAGGTGCAGTAGCTTGGCACCTGATAGAATTTATACTTTGTAATGAAGGATATGCCAATAATAGCCAAATTAAAATCTGGGATGATAATAAAATATATATATGATACTAAAATTAACTTATAAAAGATGAAATAAATAACTGAAAAAACATGAAGATATGAATAGATAAATAAATAGATATATGAATAAATAGATAGATATGTAGATAAATAAGTAGATAAATAAATGAACAAAAACTAATACATGTAGTAATTTCACAGTTATTATTAACTAATCATTTTCAATATTGGGAAATATAACAATTTAACCTTACAAATTATGGAATTTGGTTGTGTGGCAATATTTGGTTATTAATCACTTTGATTATCATCTATATAATACCCGGATGACAGATCAATATTGTTTTCATATTGCTCTGTCATCCGGGAACTTCAACTGTCGATACAATATTGCTTGATTATAACATTTTGTTATTTCGCCAGTCAGCCTGATATAGATAATAATAATAATAATAATATTGTGTGGCTTTGTTTTCGTGTGATACAAGAATAAGAATATATTGCTTTCGCTATGACATTATTTTCTTGTATCACACTCAAAGCCATCCAATATTATATAAATATTGTATTGTGCAGTATATCTATTATATCAACTAAATACAACTGACCAGTTACAAATACCAATTATAATAATTTAAAAGAATTAATTGAAAAATATTAGACATAAAAAATGTAACTGTCTTTAATCCGTCAACTACTCTCTATGATTCATCAAAAGTCTGTATGATATGGAAGTATTTAATATCATGAACTGCCCATCTGCAAAGACTGAGAAAACTGAAGATCAAAGTTGATATAATGGTTTTGATTAAAGCAGCGGTTCTTAGTTGATTGTAAGTAGCTGGTTTCCAATACATAGCACATGCGCATATCCACCACTTTAATTCCCTAATGCATTCATTGATGCATTCAGTTTATGCACTGGTTATGCTTCTGTACAGTGAACAATCTCTATATACTTCTGATGCATGCAAGCTGAAGGATAGTGCATTTGGCATGTATTGGAACTCTCAAACATAGCATGATATAAAATTGATAGTACAGATGTTCTAGTTTCTCTTTTAGTTTTGAAATCTTTTATACCCGTAAAGAACCAGCGATAGGGCTAGAAGGTGCTTTGCTTTTCCTGTGTTAAGTTAAATTATCATGATGCCAGAGCCAGATTTTTAGTGAATTCCTTTATTTTATTGAAAATGTCTAGATGATGGCCAAAGGAGAATTTATAATATAAAGAATTATATACCAATGATGGTAATAACAAAAAAAGAAAAAGGGAAAGACACAGGAAAGTATAAAGAGGTACAAATCACATGATACATATGGCTGCTATTCCTACCCCCCCCCCCCTCCCCCTCAATCATTTTTAGACAGACAGACTCAAGCCAACAATGCACAGCACATGGTAAAAGTTTTCTGTTATGATTTTATAATTTGCAAAATTTGGCATTATATGTTTATCTTTGAAAAGATACAATGCACACAGTACAAGCTTTAAAAAGTTGACTCACAAAATACGGAACCTAGAGAATGCAACTGACACAGCTGATTAGACAAGTATTTTTGATTGTTTGATACCTCGGTCACACTGGCCAAACCAAGACCACACTGACAGCACACTGAACAAGAATATACATTATGGCTAATGGCAAAGAATTGCACTATTTGGATTATTTTGGCCTAGTGACTGTGTTATACTGTTTTATAATAGTGCTAAACCTGTAGGAAAAATATGCAACAGAAAAGGACACTGTTTCCGGAGAGTATCAACTTGACTTTCAATCTAGCCATGCAGATTACATTTATCGTTGAGAAATTTTGAATATCAGCTGTTATTGTTGGAACTATCAACTATAAATGTTTTACTACATGTTGCTACATGGTAATGTACTATTCTCTATGCACACGGTAATCTTTTACAGTGCCAACTGTGCATGCTTTCAAAGCTTGCTTAAAATATATCTAAACCTGTTATTAATAAATTGTTTGCTTGATTTGTTCCTTTACTTGCAGGAATGTGATAATCTCAGCACCTAGTAACTTCAGTCATATCACTCATATGGGACCAGGAGACAGCTTGTCAAAGCTGCAGGATATTCCTGTAAGTATGGATTCTTTAAAGGGATCGTTTAACAATGTAAAATCTGAGATACACGGCCCTACATATTATCAGTGTCTGTGATGTGGTGTAATATGGAAGCCCTAAAAAAAATTCGCTTCAAAATATCAAGAAGTGCCTCAAAAAGTAAAAAATCTTTGAGTGACCGGTTTTACCATACTCATGTTACCCAAAAGACTGTAGTGTTATGAAAAACGTTTGGCAAACGCAAATTTGGTTTTGATTTCCAATCTTAAATATCTTGACAATCAGACAGGCGATCGGCTTGTAAAAGTCCTAGGGTTCCTGACTGACCGAAAGATTTATAATTATCATTGCAGCATGAGCTAAATCCAGGATTTTGTTTCAGAATCTGAGACAAAGTTACCAGATCCCTTTAAAGGGTTATATTTGATTTTTTTAAATATTTTTAAAATGCCTTCTTTTTTTAGGTGAATTGTGGTTTTAAATAACATCTTAAAGAGAATGAAAACTGGCTATATATAACCTCTTGAACCTGCTATGAAACCACTCAGATAAGTATATTCATTGTACATCTTAATTTTGATGTAGGGAGCTGAGAGCAAGCCAGTTCGTATCAAGAGCATGGTCGGTCAGCCGTTGCCTGCCCAGCGAAGTGTGACCAGGCAGAGACCCAACACGGTCATCAACCTCAGCAGGGACTCGGATCAGAACGGTCAGCTTAGCTTGGCACCGTCTGGAGCAGCTAACTTTGAGCTGAGTCTCACATCGCGGGATGGTTCCCAGGGATCACAGGGTTCACCGGATCTCTCGGGATACTCCCCAAGGCACTCCTTAGGAGAGGAAGGTAATGATAAAGCGCTTACCACTGAAGTCTCTAAGCGCTATAACAAACAAAATAAAATGATAAACAATTACATATTAAACAAAACAAAAAATTACAAATTAACCTACAAATTATAATACCTATGAAATATACATCAATGTGAACAGAGTAAGTTAATCATCAAAAGCAATTTTAAATAAATGTGTCTGAAGACAAGTTTTGAATTGGTTGACAGTCTGACAGGTAGGGGAGGATATGTTTCTGTGATCTTATCCTGTCATGTTGAAAGCAACAATGTGGAGTTTTCTGTCCATTCCTTTTAGAATCCAACAAAATTTTACACTGAAATGTTAAAAACATGGCATGAATGAATGACGGCTGCCCATTGAATTGTACAGGAAGTAAATAATAGCTGAGTAATGATAAGAAGATCACACTCCCAGCAGAATGTGTAGTCCAGTGCATATCTATGTAGGTGGTTTCAGGAATGCTTTGAGGATCAACTTTTCGTTACCAGTTTTGCCAAACAACTTAAATTGTGACAGAATGATCAGTTCAAAATACCTTACGAAAGATCACAAGATTACTTTTGATTGTTGTAAATTCTGTTAATCAAATTGTAGTTTCTAGCTTTTCAACTTTGTAAGGTATTTTGGAAAGTAAAGAAACACATTTCCGCATAAATTACTTGTTGTGTATTTACTCCAATTTTAGAGCAATAGTCAAAGATGGTGATCAAAGTCTGCCATAGGCTGGCTACCGGGATATACTTTTTATTATTTGCTATTACCTCTTAATTAGTTTTTCAAGCTATTGAACTTAATAATTTTCTTTTTGCTTTTGTTCCAGCCTCAAGTTCTGGGACGCCGCCTACCCCTCATCGAATGAGCTACGCAGAGCAAGACCAATCATGAGGGCTGCACATGAAGAACACAAAGACTTCAGCTTCCCCTTAGAGTGTCATTGAGTGATTTCAAGTTCGGTGTTAGTGTCAAGACCAATGCATTGTCATTCATTGTAGGCAGTATTGAACACCGGTCACGCAACTAGTGTTAAGGAAATAGTGAGGGTATCGAGTGTTTAGCACCGTGGATGTGAGGATCATCTATGGCATTGATGCTAAGTTAACACTTGACACCAGACCTGAACACTAGACTTGAAATCACTAGCTGATCTCTAAGTCAACTCGTGCTCAACAGCTACCTGAACACTGAAAGCATTACTCTACCCCCCCCCCCCATGAAATCTCTCTGATGCAAGTGTAGTGTCACTCTTTAGGTCTGTTGCTGGTGTGCTTAGCTGAAACCAAACACCAGCCTACAACACTGTTTTTAGAAGCACCTGTCATGGGTGTTAAGCATCAAGAAATGTAATTATAATTTGTTTGAAATGAATAAACTCTCATGGAAGATGCAGCTTTAAAAGCAACTCTTTGAAATATAGCTATGAATATGCATTTTGGGCTTGCTATGAAGAAAAGGGCAAGTTCTTGTGTGGAGGGAATCCATGATAATCGCCTTTTTAGCCCCAATCATTATCATCACCAACATCACCACCACCACAAATATCATCACCTTTATCATCATCATCATCATCATCATCATCATCATCATCATCATCGTCGTCATCGTCATCGTCATCATCATCATCATCATCCCCTTATCAATCATGTTATCACCTTTATTTAGTATCAATAACATTGTCATTGCCCCAATGTATCATTGTACTCAATATCGCCAACATATATATTTCTGTTAGATAAGAACATGCTGGGTATTAACAACTGTAACGGTTTAGGTATAATTGCAGTCTAATAAAGTAACTGAATATGAAAGGGGGGATATCTTTATGGTGTATTGTTCTTTACTGCCATGTGATGCAAATTTAGTGAAAAGAAAATATAATGAAACTTCTCAATTTCCGTTTGAGTTGTTTTTCATACTACTCATCACTGGATATTGTCGGTATAAAGCTTGAGCAAGGTTTAATCCCTTTTGATATCAAATCTGTGATTAATCTGGCAAGTCGAGGATTACTTGTGCGCATTCTCAAGTTTAGGATAAACTTAAGAATTATCATTCTGTTATTATTTTTTACAAATCTTTAAGCATGTTGAAGAAAGTGCTGCATTTCTGTTCTGTGTATCAGATTCTTTTCCTGGACTATTGGAAATTGAACTTCTACATGTCATGATGAGATAAGTGATAAATTAAATTCTACAATATGGTCAGGGCACTTTATGCTAATATCTCTTTAAGCATCATCAGAACCAGTCCATCATTTAAATTGAAAGACATTATAAGCAAAGCTCCAAAATTTATCAATCTTGGCACCACAAAATTCAGTGTTGAGCCAGCACATGTGTGTCCTGAGAATATAACATTAATTTAAATAATAGTAATGCCAGTCATTTTTGTAATGATATTGGGAGATGCAATTATTTAGGGGTGCGAAAGAAGATGAGATTGCATTTCCTGTAGAGTTATAAAAGAATACAGATTGCACTCTTTGAAGGACTTTTGTACCGTGGAAGAAACTTTCCCAAAAGTTAATTTTGTTTAATATACCATTTAAAGGTATTTGCAGGTCACAATAGTAATTTGTAGAATCAATGATTGACCCCTCTCACCATGGTAGAGCCATAGGCAGAAATACAATGTAGCGGCATGTTGGATTTGTGGAAGTACAAGTAGTTATATGAGAAACGGTAGTGCTGGAAGCTACCGAAAGAACAAGATGAGAAATGTGGGGTAGGTTCATCTGAAAATTTCCCTCTAAAAAAGGCGCAGCTCTGCCAAATTGTGTGATTGTTCTAGTTGCACTGTCAAAACTACACCTATTTATTAGCTCGAGTGGAAGATTACAAGGAGTTCCGTAGGGCAAGTTAAAGAGAAAACATTGTTTCGTAGCCTTGGGTCATGTAGAAACTCTCATTTTTGGTTCATTGTTGCAAGTTTGCTTTATATTAAAGGTACATTAATTAGAACAGGACAAAATGGTTCAGCATTTTATGATCTGCTTTCTGCGCCATATTTAGCTTTGATTAAATGGATTTAGAAGGAGCACATGTACCTTCATTTGACTGCAGTGTGAAATGAAAGCTTCTAAAATCTCAATAAAGGCTTTCTGTGCTGGCAACAAAAATGTGGTATTCATATAAAACTTACTTTCCAATGAGTTCCACATGAAAGGCTTTTCCATCCAGTGTTGGGAATAGATTTCAACTTATAAGGTCACTAGCAATTTGTTCCAATGTTTTTTTTATAGAATCATTTGTGAATCATTTGTATTACATTTCCCTTTTTTGTTGTTTTGTCAGTACCAAAATGATAAACTTATTTTCAGGTCCTGTAGAAATTTGTTATTTAATCGTTTACAGAGGTTGATGGCATTTAAAAAATATTATTAGAAAGTGCTTTTATTTGATAAAAGTATCAACCCAAACATTGATGGTTGTTTAAAAAGTTGTTGTTCTTTAACCAAATATTTATCGAGAATAAATTCTGTACAATAAAGTTAAAGTTGGCATCAGTCATAAAGAATTTTTTTTTGTTAATACCTTCTCCACTACAGCATTTAAATTTATCATTTCCTGGAATAGCCTTGTTTGTGTCTTTCAGTAGTACATAGTATCCTAATTTATGACGACAGAAATTCTTTGAAAAAGAGTAAAAAAAACTCTTTAAAAAAAAACTAAGATGTACTTAATTATTTTTGGCTTCCTGTTTATAATCTTTGTCAATCTTGTGTTGCATATTCTGTACAAATGTGAATATTTTTGTTGTTTACCATGTATCTATAAAAACACATTTTTGTTACCCTCTCGAGTATTAACTGTAAATGTACCTTTGATATTGCTAGAGACCCCGACTTGGTATGTATCCCATTTCTGGTTTGGTTTTAAATTCATTATCTCTGTTTTATATTCCCTATTATTAAAGATATAAAGTGCCTAGAATGACATCTCTATATATGTAGGTACATTTTAAATGTAGCAACAGACGGGATGCATCGTAATTCTAGCTGTACTTTGAAAATGTTAGGCACACGGCATTTGTACTGTGAATCGGTTGCAGTGACAATTAGATGGGATGTAGGTAGGGTCTGCCAGAGTGCTACAAAGGTGACTGCTAGTAGCTTCTTTAATACATGGAGTTTATAATGCCTGTCTGGCTGTCAGCAGACAGGACTTGAATGATAGCTTTGTAGGGTCCAAAGATTGGTGTTCATGTGGACCCAGGTGTGCTATCTCAATGCTATGATGCCTAGTAATTTTTATTATGCAAGTTTAAAGGATTGACTAATACAGGATAGCCTGTTGTTATCAGATTGGAAGAGTGCTGTCATGTGCAGATGAGTGTATAGGACTTGCCGCCGACCAAAGCTGGGATTTTCAATTACAAATACATGTAGGAGATTTGGGTGCTGCTGCTGTTCATCACCCAAACCACACATGAATCAAAGTGCATAGGACCAACAGAAGTGTACCGTGTTGTCTTTTATAGCACACATCTTCATTGTAGTCTCCATTTCGACTCCATATATTTTTTTTAGGGAGGGGGGATGTTGCTTTGACAAAAATAGCATTTCCATAGAAAGCAAAACTGCTAAGATTGCCTATGCAGTCAATCAATTCTATTTTCAGATAGGACAGGTTATTTATTGGCAAAGCTCTTGTTGTACAGGATGAATAATAAGGAAATAAAACTTGCATATTGATGAAAGCACCCACACTTCTTCTGTTACCGGTACTCCCACATAATCTAAATACTTGCGCTGAAATTTAACAAAATTTAAGGTCTCAATGGCAAAGCAGCATTTGAACATGATTTTTAAATTGTCTCGAAACAATGAATGTAGTCGGGAGTATGGATGAATAGTTTTTAATCATGTAAAGTCTATCAGTGAATATGTAATTTGACATTTTGATTGGTTTCCTATAAGAGCTGTTAAAATGTGTAGGAATAGATGGTTATCTCGCTCTCTTAAATGGAGATGAACGTGTATAAAAGCAACAGTACTAGTAGGAACAAAATATTCTTCTTTAGGTATAATGCTACTTGTAATTTAGGTATTATAACTGTAGGGAACTTGTAGCACAATTGAATGAATATTTCAAAGTGAGAGCAATCTAATCTTATACTTCTTGAATGAAATCGATCTTAATAATTGACTTAAGAATGCTATCGAAATGAAACATGTGGACCTTGCAGTGAAAATGTTCATATTCCATTGTTAACCATGAGTAGGTCGATCCAACTTGGCTCTGTACAGATATATAGATTATCGTGTGAAAGATGTTTTGGAATTGTGTGATCAGATGCAAATTTTGCAACTCATTTCTTACTTAGATCCATTACTATCATTTCTAACTTAGACCCATTACTATCATTTCAATACGTTTACCAGTAGTCAGTCCATATGTCCATTCATTTGTACCTCTTTTTATTCTCCCTTAGTGCATGATTGCAGTTGTAGTTTTTCTTTTGCTGATGATTACTATATGATACATGGATTGCCAAGCAATCTTATTTTCCTTGTAGCAATGCAAGATGCGCATACTAGATAGCAATCTTATTCATTTTCGTCATGATTATTCAGTGCAACCCTCATTAAATGATACCTTCATTTCTTAGATTCTGTCTGACCTTGATCATGCATTCTGCATACCTTATGGTCAGCTTTAATTTGCCAGGATTGTTTTTTCTTCTCGTCTCGAAATGATAAAATGAAAACTTGATGTACCTGTTCTATGTGTGTGTGGTATATCAAGAGATGGTTAGGTTTAGAGAGGATGAAAATATGAAATATATTGCAATTTGTGTGATTGCTTTTTAACCATGCTTTTTAGGGTAAGCATAGTTGGAAGAAGAAGTCTTGTGTTCTGGCTTATGGAGTAGGCTTTTGTAGAATTATAAACAGTGCCACTGTTTTGTCAGATAACATAAAGAGACAGTTGATAGAATCTATCGTTGTATTCTCTCTTGTGGAGATGGTAATTTGGAAGGAAATTGGGGAATTATTTCAACAGGGTTTCAACATTTTAACAATTCATGTCAGATTTTGAAGGGCGCCGTATCTCAAGCCATGTTGTATTTGGTGAATGTTCACACCTGTAATTAATAAACATACATGGGTTAACTTAAATCGCAAGAACCATATTCACATATCTGCATACTGTTCAAATTGCGAGATGAAACAGTGGCACTGTCATAGAACTCTAGTAAATGAAATCTGCAGGCTAGCCAAAAGTTTGACTGTCTTCCAAGCCTGCACCTCTCCTGTTCCGTATTCTCTCCATCTTGCTCCCCATTGTGGTGTGAAAAATTTGTGTAATGGCCACTTTTCTTCGTCGTAGAGACTAATTAGGGAGTTTTCTTCTTTTTTTTCTGAGTGAGACTATTGATGCTTGCTGTGAGTATTGTGCGTGCACTACTGTGTCTATGAAGATGTATTTATGTCATTGGAGCATGATGGTATAAAGGTTTTTCTTTTCAGTAAATTACTTATAGATCAAGATTATTTACCTCATATTAATTGTCCAAGGTTTAAACGTAGGGGACGAAAGAGTACGAACATTTACCTGTATGCAAAACTAGTATTGGAATTATTTCCTGTATTCGTAGATAACAATGTTGATTTTTATTAATGCTTTATTTGTTTTTTAAAGAAGAGAAGAGATAATTTGCCTTGCTACTAATTGATAATACCGAGATGAATGTTTAACATAGATGTGTCTATAGGCGACTAACTATATAATGAATTAATGCTTGTACACTTTTTTGAGAAGTAGCTTATTAATGTAATTATGATTACTTGTATTATTTATATGTATCAAATATGAGGTTTCTTACTCGTCGGCTCGTTTCCTTTGCAGAGAAAAAAAATGAGCGGATTGTGATTATCTATGTATTTAAAATAATAATGTATGTCGTTGTGTATATTAAGAGGAAGACAGGAGAAGCAATGTACTGTATATTGTATGTCAGGTTTTACTACATTTGTTAATAGTATTATAATGTGATGAGGAATTTAATGAACGAGCAGTTGTTGGAAGTAACAAGATGGGACGTTTTATTGTTGCGTCTGCACTAGTTGTTTCAAGTGAAAGAGAATATACAACAGGTACAGACAGGATTTCTTGCTCTTTGTTTCTTATTTATTCGTGTGTGAGCTGACATAATGTTTGATGGTGATTGATGTTGTGTTTTTTTAAAGCAAACTGTATGGCCCGAATTCACAAAGGAGGTTTGTATACAAACGTTTATGTGCATCATATGACGCGTTTCAATGCGTTTCAGACCAAGGTTCAGACAAACCTTGGTCTGAAACGTGTCATATGACACACATAAACCTCCTTAATGAATTTGGGTCTTTATGGTTGACTGAGTGGGATATTCATTAAAATCCTCACAACAGGAAAAAACCTCAAAGGTAAAGACATGTATCAGACACATGACGATGAAGTATGTCAAATTTTAAAAATTAAAAAATTGACTCCACGCAGTCGAAATTATGCCTCCGCCTGCAACTAGCTCAGTCAGGTTTTTATGAATATTGGCCCTGTTTACAAAGTTAATGCATACTTCTTGAACAGAAGATGATCTCAAAAAATTGCAAGAGGCTTGTTAGACATAGCACAAAAAAAGCAAATTTGATGCCATCAATTACCCATAGGTGAATTTAACATTCACTTCACCTGTCTGAATTGAAATACATTAGGAAGCGGGTCTTTTCATTACTTATGCAGACAGATTTCACATCCTTGATTTTTTAAACTAAAACTCTAATTAAATATTCATGAAGAAATATAACAAACTTCAACATTAAATTTTCAGTCTTGGTAAAAAATAAAGTAAAAACCTGGCGCAGAAAGTGAGAATATGAAAGTTTTTGATCCGCGCGCACAATGACGTTGCGTAATATTGGTTTATGAAGTGGATTTTAGTGCATAATCCTGCATAGTATCAAAGTGATATTTCTTTTACTGTTCATTCCATATTCATTCCATATAAAAAAAATACCAAAGTCTTTCAATGAAAATTCAATTCTGTAATAAAATGTTTTATTTTCAACTAAAATACTCAAGAAAATGGTAGAAAAAATCTTGCGCTTTAATCTGTTAATACCCTGAAGTGCAACAAGATAATTGTAGAATTCATTTGATAAAACATGGCTACTTTTGAAGTACAAGAAGATTTGCAAAAATAAGTTGAAGGATAGGCAATATAGCGCACAGAAATAATCACATTTTACATACAAGAAGACATTCAGATTACAAAGTCAAATTTGCTGTGAAGAAGTATTTTGGCATGTAAAGCCTGCCTCGCATTACACGATCCACCTATTACCACATTGTGGAAGACCTTGCATTTTAACAGATCAGAAATTAAATTGGAATTTCTGTGTAGTTTAACAATTTTGTTTACCAGTCTACCTGCTTGCCTACTTTGACATGGTCAGATCATATACAGGGTGTAGTTATATTTACCTGCTTTTACCAAAAACCAACTCATCACAATAGATTTCTAGAGTTACAAACCACTTACAAAATGTTAAAGGTAATACAAATTTTGGGGAAATTTTGAAAATTGGCTGGATAGTGATTCTTCACAATTTTGATATATTTGGATGCCCCTGTGGATGTATTATAAGCACTAGAAAAATTAGCTCCTAAAACACTTCTGCTTTTGAGATAAATTGAATATAAAAATTTACCGGTGCTCCCGGTAAATTTTCATGAATTTCAAATAGCACCTACGGCCATACAATGGTAGCTGCGACCATGAAAATCTCAGAATATGTAGGTGTGATATATAATTTACAAACGGGAATAGCCAATTGGTCGATTTTAGTCAAGAAACATCGTTTTAAAGCTCAATTAATATATTGACCTTGAGAGGGAGCTACACAACATAAACAGTTTATTATTACAATTTCATCACTTTAGACTCGATGTTAACCGCGCCAACGATCACTGAATATTGTAGGATTGCATATGCTTCCAATATGTTCATTTGAACCAAATTCATGACCCCATACCGAAACTTTGTATTACCTTTAAACTTTTATTCTCTTAAAAATGAATTTTGGTACGTTTAACATTGCAGTAAAGAAGTCGCATCTTTTACAGATCTTGAGTATTTTATCTTTTTATCCCTTTTATTTACATAAACATTAATAAAACATCAACTCCAGGCCAAATACCTTCTGGATGTCCACACACCCCCCCCCCCCCCCCCAAAAAAAGTTAACTCCCGGAAACGGCAATAAGCGAAAAGCTGGAAAGAAAGAAGGTGGGGGAGGGGGGGGGGGTGGCTACCCCAGTCTTTGGGTAGTCGTTGGGTTGTTTTCCTAGGATTGTCATGGGGGGGGGGGGGGGGGGGGGGGGGGGGGGGGGGGGGGGGGGGGGGGGGGCGGGGGGGAGGTTACAAAAAGAAAACAATTTTGAAGCATATATGTCCTACTTGTTATTCAGTTTTTACTCTTGACGCATTCATACATTGTCTCCACGGCCGATTATAGCGGTGTAAAGTAGTTCCAGCTCTGCTGAATAAATTCCTGGCTGGCTTGCACTCTGTAATGCAGATTGATGCCTCCATGTGTTGTTCCACCCATGTATCGAGATCCATGCCATACACATTCAGACAAGCAATGCTTCACATAAAGTTACTTCAGATATCTAAAGGTTGCCAATATATAATTTGCTATGCATCATAGTCTTCATCACTGTCGTCATCATTGTCATTGTTCTGTGAGGTGTGGGGCTGAGGTGCAAGGTATGCCCCCATGGCTGGTGCGTTGCCAGAGAGGGCGCTATGATGAGGAGGTAGTAGAGGTGCAGGCATTGTTGGTGCGTACATGGTGCCTGATGCGGTCTGCCCGGGATATGGATAACTGATGAAAGATAAAAAGGAAGATCATTATTCAATTGGTATTTGGAAATCTCCCAAGTCAGATTTGGTGTAATATGTAAGAAGTGAAAAATAGTAAAAACTAGGGTACCAACAACTTTTAGTCCTCTCTGAGGGACTTAGTAAGGAGGACTAATGCCTTACAAAGGGCACTAGTGCATTGACTTGATTTCGAACCCGAGACCTCCCAATTACGAGATTACTGCTCTACCACTGAGCCATCACGCCTCGATTAAAACTACCAAGCAAAACAACTATCAGGGCATAATCCCTTTCGATTCATGCACCATATCACTCGCATTATCACTTGCCTATTATGGTTGACTGGGGGTACTGTGTGAAATGCTGGATGTGATGATGATGATGATGATGATGAATTTGCTGCTGAGGCATTGGTGGTCTCTGCTGGATGTCTCCGTCTCTCGTCTTTACTACCCGACTCGTCAGATTCAAAGGAATCCTGCTTGAAAAAGAAAAGGTATAGACAATTTGGTAAACACATTCACAATGCAAATACGGCTTAATCTCACTACTACAACTTCTACTACTACTACTACTACTAATTCTACTACTACTACTTCTTCTACTGCTACTGCTACTACTACCACCACCACCACAAGTACCACTAATACTACCATAATACCGTAATTACATATCAGGAATGCATAAGTTTACTAGTTTGAAGAAGAACAAAAAAGTTTCTTGCACATATTGGGTACGGTTCTGATCTGAATTAAGAAATATTATCCCTTTCCAATCGAAACCACATATTGAATTGATCTCATTGTGTCCTACAAAATCATTAACCTGTTATTTGATCTGTTGTATTCTAATTTAAATGCAATTAGGTATTTGATATCCTCTTTTTGCAATCTAACCTGGTTTGAATCTGCTTGAAGCCACTTTAATCCCATGAAGCTACATCACATTATTCATCTTATTTCAGGAAAACATGATTTCACAAAGAAATCTTAATTTATTTACAGGCAATTCACTCTTATCTGCTTTAATCTCACTGAATCAATGTCAAATCATTTCACTAACCTCATCCGATGAGGGTTCATCTACAGACTGCAGACTGCTTTGGGCCGAGGCATCTCTTCGTATACCCTTCTTTCTCCTGCATATCAAGAAAGAAGAAACATGGTACAAACCCAAACAACAAGAATGTGACTGCATCTCTCACATACATTACATGGATTACATTGATTTTTCTCATACCTTATGCCACTGTTTACATAATCATGATCTGCATAAACTAATTGATTTAAAATTCTATTAAAAATTTTACTTCCGAGGATATAATGGCATCCTGAGAACATCACATCTGAAATTCTGACACACTTTGAAAAGGCATGTTGTAACAGCCAGCTGACATGATATGCTTAGAGAATAAGAATGTTTACAAACGAGTCAAATTGAATAAAATGATTTAATAGTCATACCTTGAATTTGGAGGTTTATCAGACTGGATTGATCCACTGTTTGAATCATCATCCTCACATGAAATGGTGGGTACATTCTCTACTAGATCCTTTAAGAAATCAAACTTGTTCTCTTGCTCGATGCATTGCTTTCTGGAGGACACAAACGGGACAAAAGGGATTCTTTCATTTACAATTGTACTAAAGTACAGTAGTATTACTATTAGGAAACATGTGTCAGAATACAATACAGCACAATAATACAGTAAAAAACATTTGAAATGTCCAATATTTTACAACATGCAGCAATTTCTAATCTCCCTTCTACAAGCATCTCACTCATCACAAAGAATATTGCTGCAATACTTGTACCTATTTCCACATCTAATTTATGTATTCCATTACTCACATTTCCCCCTTCAATATTTTTTCTGTAGTGCTGTCATGTTTTTTTCCCCCTCATATTTTTCTGATAAATGAAATGTATGGATACAGCAATCTGCTTTGCATCCAAGGAATAAATACTTTAATGAAGTGTTTAGGTTGGATAAAATAGATTGAGCCAGAGAGGAAAGAAGACAAAAAGAAAGAAAAAAGAGTTGATGATAATCATCTGTCCATGGGACATAGTACAGAAAACCCAAAATTTGAAGAAGTTTTCATCAACAATCATCAATGACTCACATGTGAGAGGTGGTAAGAGTCTTGGCGTTCCTCGACAGGGTTTCCTGCGATGCTTTGGTTATGAGACCTTCAACAAAGATCTCAAGGGCCTTGGCTAATGGTTCAAGTTTATTGTTAAAGATTTCAAAACAATCATAGAAAAATGTTGTATTTTAAAAAGGGTCCTATCTATAAACTGGACCAGAGAAAAATTATAATCCTCAGCTTTACACTTTGGGAAAAGTCTCAGAACTAAAGTTGACAAAACCTTTACATTTTTAACACCTATATTTTGGCATAAATCATAAGTAAACTATTTTAGGGATTTTTTAATATAAAAACCAAAAGTTAACTGTATTATTGTAGATTATATTTGAACTCCATCATGTCTGTTTCTCTACCTTTATCCTTTACATGTAAGTGTCAGTTCACCTTAAATAAAATTGTATACAGCTAGAATGTACAAAATTAATCTCAAACTCCTCTACCTGGCAATCTATAGTTTAACAGTTAAAGAGTATGAAGAAAAGAAAATATAACTTAAAACCTAGCAAATACGCGCATTTTGACTTGTCTACTCAACAAGTCATTGTTATATTTACTGAGAGTAAATATTTTAAATGCAATATCTCATTGTAGAAGTAATATTTGAAGCTCATATTGTGCATATATAGCAATATGAAACCCCTTGGCCCGAATTCACAAAGCAAGGTTTGAGCTCAGACCAAGGTTTGAGCTCAAACCTCCTTTTGTTTCGCCAAACCTTCTTTTGTTCTTTACAAACCAGGTTTGTAAAAAAAACGCGTAAAACACGTCATATGACGTACGAAAACCAAGGTTTGTCGACAAACCTCCTTTGTGAATTCGGGCCCTTATGTACATCAAAAGCAAAAGATGTTTGGTGATTGGTACACTTAAATTACAAACTTTTATATTTATGGCAAAAAAAGAGACAATACATAGTGTAATATCGCAACGTTATAATTAAAGGTAGAAAGGATACATATAAGCACTGGAACAGGAGCTGCCACCTTCCCAACATCTTCATCCTTCTGCATGATTTTCTTGATTCGAGCCTGAAATAAAGAGAAACAAACAAAAGTTCTTTCATGTTTTATTGATTTCATTCAACATATCATATGTACTGATTTAGTGATTGGTAATCAGAACAACATCGAATAGATCAAGAAAGAAAAATAAATACAAGTTTACTGACTTCCTCATTTGATTTAGATTATAATTTCAATGTTGTAAATAATTATTTTAAAAGCATGAGTAAATTTGCCATAGTGTAGACGATGTTCATTAAGTTTATCTTGTATTTATTTGTCTTTCTTGATCAAAGTAATTCATCATTACGATCGCTAACTTCACACATGCGTGAGTGTCCGCACCCTGCACTGTTGCTATACAGTATGCAATTGTATTGACTATTGTGCATCAGTTTGCCATGAATTTTCGTTTTTAGGAAAAAATACTCCGCAAAAAAGATAAGAAAATTGACACGAAACAAGTAAGAAACATAACAACTTTTAAATCATGACCATTATTATTTGAACAATTGATGAATATTTAGTCAATTTTTGGTATGTTTAAGTAGGGTAGACTCTATCTCCACGCAGGAGTTACGTTTCGGTCAAGGTCTTGAAGTGATTCTGAACTAGCGACGAGTTCTCTCTCTGAAGTCAAGGAGCCAACCCTACCCAAATAACTTAATAGTAAATAATAAGACTTAAGAACAAGAGGTTTGGTTCTTGCATATCCGGATAAATAACTTCTATAGTGCCGGTTGGCATTGCAATTGCATTGGCCATGCAATTTTATCAACATTTCATAATCATTTCACTTTCTGAGCTGTGCCAATGTGGCAGTCACGTACGTCACTGGCACTGCACTGTCACTGTGTCAGGGATTATTTTAATTTAGTTTGTAAATATATTATTTAATTGTACGGTATATGAATGTCCTTAGTTACTTACAGGTGGAAACCTTGCATTGTACTTCTTCTTCTTACTTGGCATTTCTTTATACAAATTTACCAAAGCTTGCCGCAAAAATGAGGAGGAAATGCACGCTCAAAATTCGGATATCCAGGGGCAAACTAGCGACCTAGTTGCGTCGATGTTCACGGTGTTAATGCAAGAGCAAATAAAAAAGGGAAAAATAACAAATATTAAAAGTTATCATTTTGATCAGCTAGATGTTCTTCTTCTTCTTCTTCTTCTTCAAAATAATCTGCCTCCTTCACTGCTGAAGATTCTTGCAGATGTGTGAGAGTGCATGTGTGTGGCGACATGGGGATGTCCAGGTGTGCAGGTGAAATTTATACATAGTCAGGCGCAGTGGCGGATCCAGGGGGGGGGGGGCCCTTGAGAGAAAAAATCATGTAAAATCACGTGATTTTTACCTTTTTTGGGGGTTGGGCCCCCCCCCCCTGGCGCTCAAGGGGGGGGGGTGCAAATTGAAATTCTTTTGAGGATCAAAAAAAAATGTGCTCACTACCCCCCCCCCCCCCCCCCCCCCCCCCACTGAGCAAATTTTTGGCCACGTTTTTCAAATTTTCGGGAGCAAAAAAAAAAATTGTGCTCTCTACCCCCCCCCCCCCCCCACTGAGCGAATTTTCGGGAGCAAAAAAAAAAAAAAGTTGGGCCCCCTCCCCTAAGAAATCCTGGATCCGCGCCTGGTCAGGCGCGTACGCAGGGGGTGTTTGGGGAGTTAAACCCCGCCCCCCCCCCTTTGTATGTGTATAAACCCCCCTAAACCCCCATAAAAAAAACCAAACCCCCCCCCCTTTGGTTTTTTTTTGTTGAAAATTCCCATGGCTGACCTAAAAAAGGTGACCTTACCCCCCCCCCCAACGGAGCAAAATGTCAAATTTTCAAATTTCGAGACAAAAAAAAAAAAAAAAGTGTCCTCTTACCCCCCCCCCCCCCCCCCCCCCCCCCCCCCCCCCCCGCTTATTCAGCGGCTGGCTGAGTCGAGTGCGAAATTATCGGCCCGATTTGAAAATGTTAACCCCCCCCCCCCCCCTTGAAAAAATCCTGCGTACGCGCCTGTACATAGTGCCAGTAAAACTTTATTGTAAGGTTGTGAAGTGTGGGGCTTTCAAAAGTTGGACTGTTTTGAAATCTTTCACATAAAATTTCTAAACAATTTGCTTGAATTGAATCGGGGTACTGCAAAATGTATGATCATGTTGAATGACGAAGTTGGTAGATTTGTTTTCTTAGCCAGCCTATCAAACGGTTATTTTGGGCTATATGGTTATTCAAGGTAAAAATTCTAAGCTCTTAATTTAACAATTTGTTACGAAAACTACATGAAAATTGTGATTTTTCATGCAAGGTGGATTTTAAACGGTAAATGTATTTTAGTAATATACGGAACGGAAGGTGGGCCTATACTACTGTAAATCTAAATTGGGTTTTAGTCATCTATGAATCTGAGATTAAATGATATAGCCTTACTAGATCATCAAAACTGGAATAATGAAGTTAAAAGGGATGGTTTATATTTCAACACTATAATCTTTCAAGAGAGAGTTTGTCTGGGAAATTATTTGATAAAAATAGAGGCAGTGGATGCAATGTGGAAATCATACAAACTGCCAGTCACCGAATGTTGCTATTTATCGGATCAACCTCTAAAAATAACCCGTGGCGAGTGAAAAAAAATATGTTCGGGTAGGCCTTATGCCTGGTGATTCCTTTTTTTATTGAAAACTACACTTCCATTAGTTATATCAAATGCTTATTCTACCAGGCAGCCTAAGAAACTTTCAGAATTCTGTAGAATCGTGCCTAATTTTTTATATAATCCCCTTTTGTAGAGATATCTACATATGATCCTTGAGACGATGTGGTAATTTCATGGTTCTTTGTTTATTAACACTCAACTGAACTCCCATCAATTCCATACACCGGAATGTACAAAGTAGCAATAATAGTAGTAGTTTAGTAGTTTAGTAGGTAAAACAAAGTTTTCCTTCCTTGAATCCGTGCCCACATCATATCATATCTGTAGTTTCCATGTGACAAGCCTAGCTACGTTTGTACAACAATTCCAGTCAATCTACGGTATCCTCAAAACAAAAACTAAATTTGGCTTCTTATATCTTGATCCTTACATTCCTCCCCCCAGTTGCAGCTAGAGGATGCAACGATTAACATCTATTTAACCAAAACTTAATTGTCCACCACTGATGTAAATTAACAAAATACCAACTGTTATCTACATGTATTATCAAATGTTTACAACCATTTTCTTCATATTGTCTCATAACCTAGGTAAAATTAAATTCAAACACTTTCTATTTATATAATACCTAACTGTTTCCAAAACAAATCATAATCACAATGAGATGTAACACTTATCTCTCTATACTCTGCTGGCTTCTACTATCTAAATGCACAGAATACACTAAATTCTGCAAAATCGAGCTTAATCCCTGGATTACTATAAACATTCCTGTATCAACTCAACAAAAGCATCCAATACAAAATAATCATGAATCAATGATAACTTTAAATCAAAATATTTTCAATGTTTACTCATAGCTGTCAAACTTTTGTCAAACTTTTGTCAAAATGTAATACCTATGGTAATTAAATTATCAAAACACCATTTTCGTTATAATTGCCTTTCAAAAAATAACTCTGGAAATAAACCAGTAATATGAAATCCAAACACAAGAATTGTTCTTCCAAAACAAGAATAATTAGTGGCTGTATTTACTACCTTTAACATTTTTCCTTTTGTTTTTATTTAAACATAAAACAATTTCTGAACACCTTCAATTGAACTGAACTGATGTACATGTACATCAACATAAAGGGAACATCGAAATAACGTAGATACACATGTACTTTCAAACAATAGAAAAAAGGAAATATTTAGCATTGTGCATAATACCATCTTCATACATGTAATACTTACACTTCTGCTTGAACATTAACCTTGTTCTTTCTATTTGCATATATCAATCTGTCCGAAGTTTACCTGCATGACTGAAGTCACATTGTGGATTGACTACTAAGCACATGCAAATATCCTTGCCATTTGCACATAAAACTAAATAACATTCCTTACTACACTTAAACATGTTAATCCTCAATTTAAATATAACACAATCTGAACTTCCTTATAATGCTCTACACTGCAGAGTGCATACACATATATTTAAATCTTTTCATTCATGTTAATGTTCTGAACATCTAATGAAATGAAATTTCTAACTTTCTATGTCAACAAATACACTGTTTTCAAAACACTTTCTCCCTTTAACCCTATTTGAGTTCTCTCTTTCTGGTATGTTTTATATTAACAAAATGTATCTGATTTTAACTCTGAGACTAATTCAATCATTACCTTGAACAAATTTTTAACAAAATATTCTCTTTTAATTATTTGTGTACATGTATGTTCAATCATCCTCAATTTAAACATCCCAATTGTGATAACACAAAGAAATATTGAAACTCAACATACTTACATATATACATGTACATGTATGAGTATAAAACATCAAATTTCAAAACGAACATTTCAGTCATGAATAGCATTTCACAGAGTTCAACTTAAACAGTTTGAAAGTTCACTAGTTCGTTCCAGTTCATGTTCATATCCTTTATCGTTCTTGCAAAGCATAAACAATATTCGGTGCTGACTTATCATAATTAAATGTCTTAAATTGACATCCTTTCATGGAAGCGTCCTCTCTTGAAATCGCGTAAAACTTTGCTCTCTTGCAATTCGCGTGTTGACAAAATCATCCTGTGTAAATTCGCGACTTGAAATGTTGATCCAATCCAAATTCGCGATTAAACATGTGTTGATCCAATGCAAATTCGCGATTAAATATGTGTTGATCCTGTATTGGCTCATTATCACAAATGATTACCAATTACTAGCCAAAGGGCTATTAATATTTTACTTCTCACTTTAACACAAACACAAAATTTCACTGGCGCTCTGAATTCCACTTGTTCGCTTGATCCAAACACAAATTGCTTCATTTGCTTGATATCCTCCTCCAATAATGATTCAAAGCACATCCACTTAAAGGCACTTTCACATATTATACATGTAGATCCTTTCATAAATTTGAGACAAACTCCATTCAAACTTCCTGCTCCAGTAGAATACACAACTTGGTTACTGGCCTTACTAGCGATGTTGTTGCAGTTTTCACTTTCGCTCTGCGGACGAACCCCTTGTTGTCTGGCATAACCTCTTGCACTCGGGCCATGGACCAGGAACATCTGTGCGCTGTTTCGTCTATGACGAGTACAATGTCCCCCACCTGAAGGTTACGACTTGGCTGCAGCCACTTTTGTCGGCGTTGTAGAGAAGGCAGGTACTCTCGCACCCACCTCTTCCAGAATAGGTCTGCCAAGTACTGCATCTGTTTCCACCGCTTCTTTGCGTAGATGTCCTTGTCGTCGAAGATCCCTGGAGGTAGCGTCGTTGAACCCTTCATAGTCAGCAAGCTGTTTGGTGAGATTACATCCAGATCATTTGGGTTGTCTGAACATCGGGTAAGAGGCCTACTATTTATGACGGCCTCCACTTCACACATGAATGTATGGAGCTGCTCCTCATTCTGGTAGGACTTTAGATACTGCTCTCTCATGACTGCACACAGTATTTTTCTGACTGTTCTAATTTGGCGTTCCCATACTCCCCCCTGATGGGAAGCAGCAGGAGGATTGAAATGCCATTTCATGCCATGGTTTGCATGAAAGTTGATCAGCTGGTCTTGATTCAGCTCCTTTAATGCCTGCTTCAGTTCCCTTTCAGCTCCTACTAAATTTGTACCATTATCCGAGAACATCTCTTTCATAGGTCCTCGGCGGCTGATGAAGCGACGAATAGCCTCAATACAGGAGCTTGTGTCTAGACTCGATGCAACTTCAATGTGCACCCCTCTGCAGGACAGGCATGTGAAGATTACGCCATATCTTTTCCTTATGCTTCTTCCACACTTTATTTCAAAAGGACCAAAATAGTCCATGCCAACTCTGGTGAACGCCGGCTCGTCACTCTGAACTCGACTTCTTGGAAGTTCTGCCATTTTCTGATGACCAGCCTTTCCTTGGTTCTTTCTGCAAATGATGCATTTCCTTGCTATGTTTCGTGC